GTGTTTATTAGGGGTTCTGTGAGCTTCCTGTACTAGGATTTCTCTGTCCTTCTCCAAACCTGGGAAATTTTCTGCTAATATCTCACTAAAAAGGCCTTCTAATCCTTTCTCCCTCTCCATGCCTTCAGGAACTCCTAGAACCCGAATGTTGGGTTTTTTAATAGTATCCTGAAGATTCCCGACAATATGTTTTAGATTCCTAATTTCCTCTTCTTTTCTTTGGTCTGACTGTATCCTTTCCTGTTCTCTGTCTTCTAAGTCCGATATTCTCTCTTCTGCTTCTCCCATTCTGTTTGTAAGGCTCTCTATTGTGTTTTTCATTTGATCTATTGAATTCTTCACTTCAGTCACTATCCCAGTTTCCTGTTGTACTAGTTGTTTCGTTTCATTTTGATTCCTCCTTAATATTTCATTTTCACGAGAGAGATTTTCTATCTTGTCCATTAAGGATTTCTGTAGTTCAAGAATTTGTTTTTGAGAACTTCTTAATGTTCTTATCAATTTTTTGAGATCTGCTTCTTGCATTTCTTCTATGTCATCATCCTCATAATCTTGAATTGGGGTGTCTTTTTCATTTGAGGGCTTCATGGTGACTTCCTTGTTTTTATTACCTTGGTTTTTGCGTTTGTTATTTGTCATATTGGAGATATTTGGTTTCTTCACTGTGGTGCTTTTTCTTGTTATACTAAGACTCTAGATTAAGTGGACTATCTGTTTTTGAGGGAGCCTTAGGGCTTGAGATGGGTGTGGCCTGAGAGCTCTGTTTGGTGTGCCTAAGGTGACACTCCCAGGTTAGGCGTGGTAAACCTCTCTCTCTCTCTCTCTCTCTCTCTCTCTCTCTTTTTTTTTTTGATTCAACAGGGAAGTTATTCTGCACAGCTGAACAAAGTTGGAGGTAGTTAGCAGGCGAATGATATACCCACAGGAGCCAGAGATCAGAAGCTCTTTCCCAAGGACCACACAGGGAATCTGTTCGGCCCTTAGAGTGGGCTCAAATTCTCCTTCAGTCTCCCACTGGGTTGCCAAAGTTACGGAATTGTAGCGTCTCCTGGAGAGTGCTCACGTGAATTCCGTGAGTTCTCTCCCCCCACCGTCTCTTTTTTCACAGTCTCAGTTCAGTAGCACCATAAATTTACTAAGTCCTAATCTCCTGTTAATTCGCCCCACCCAGAGTCAGGTTTTACTGCTAGGCTCAGGGCCGGTGCAGACCTGAGGTCGCTCTGCTTATGACGTATGTCCAAGATGGCGCCTGCTCTTTGTCTTGCTCGCCCTTGAGAGGTGAGCGGAGAGAGAGAAACCCGTGTCCATACCAGTCACCTTTTTTTTTCCCCCTCTCTCTCTTCCAGTTAGCTTGGTGAATTCCCCCCGCCCCGGGGGTCGTTCCCTCTAGTCTCCTCTCTCCGCTTGCCTGCCGGTGTCTCGGGTTATTGAGGTTCGGCTCACCTCGCGTTCCAGCGCTGGTGTGTTGAGTCTGCCACTGATGTCCCGAACTGTGGGCTCCCACGCTCTCCACGCAGGTCTGCTCCCCTTCCAGCGCCGATGTGTGGACTCGGAGCCCTGGACTTCCCAAGTCTCCCCGCTGTTGCACTCCCCTTCGAGCACTTGCGGGCAGACCCTGCAGCTTGCGCAGCTCAGTCCCGCTGCTCGGCTTCCGCGGCTCTTTTCTTGGTATTCTTTTGAAGTAAGATCTTTAATATGACAGTGAATAAGCAAGCCTTCTTGTGTATATATTTTATTTTCCTTCCAATACCAGATAGGATCTAGCAACGTACTGTTTGGTATTTGATTTGGCTTGAAGAACTTTAATAAACTAAAAGGCTTTTTAAATAAAAGCATGTGGTTTTCTCAATCTTCATTTAGAAAAAATTTATTATCATTAGTAACGATTGACTTCAAATCACAGTCTGATGAAATGAACGTGTTTGGAAGGTTGCTCAGGGGTTGTGGCAGAGAATATAGCCTGATGTCCTCCAACATCCATCTTCCTCTCTGTTGTCAGTCACGGGACCCCGGTTGTTAGGTCGGCCATGGCCACTCTGAATTAAGACTACTTTTTCTGGTACCTAGATGTGCTCATGAGATAAGTCCTAACAGATGGGATATTTGCGACTTCCGGGAAGCGAGCTTCATGGGAGAAGGCATAACTGCCTCTCCTCTGTTCTCCTTCCTGCTTAGAATCAGGAAGAGACAGCTGGAGCTGCCATCTTGGACGACGTGTAGAGGCTTCTCACTGGGGACAGCATCTGCTCGGTTCTCTGTGCTGGTGGAGCCACCACACTTGTTCTGGAAGTCCTGGGTTTGCGTGTAAGGAAGCTATGTTTCTACTTTGTTTAAGCTGTAGTAATCGAGTTTTCTGGCACTCCAGTTATCTGGACCAATACAAGGGCTCTATAGATATCAGGACTCAGAGACTAACAGTGATGTGGATAAACAGCTGGGAAGATCATATGAACACATGTGTATTGGGAACTGGGGCCTAATTTCAGGTTATAACCTGTTCTCAAGGGGCTCCCCCTCTGATGGACTTACTCTGGGGTGATGAGACTTCCTTGTGGGACCAACAACTGAGCATCTTGAAAAACACCCAAGAGAGAACCTTCCTCTTTCTTCATGAGGTACTTCCACTGCAACTTGAGTCCACATCCTGTCTCTTTTTTATAAAATATTCTCTTGGAAGGAATTGAAAGCTTAGCTTACAGAAGAGTTGAGATTTATTTTTTTCTGAAAAAAAAGTTATTTTAAAAACAGATGCTCAAAAGCCTAGGGAAGATATTGGATTTAGATTTATATACAAAACTCGTAATTCATGTACCATTCAGTTTTCTGTAATCTGTAGAGCAGTAGTAAATTTTACTTTTATGAAAGACTGTGGATTGCATATGACAAACTATTGTCTTGGAAAATATTTTAAAGGAATGAAATTGCATTGAATTAACATTGGTTAAGTACTGAATGGTTGAGAGCTTGATAGGAATGTTATAATGATTTCATACGTATTATTCCTATTAAAATAGTGTTACATTTTAATTTTCTCTTTGCTTTCAGTTCTAGGTTGCTTTCTTTCTTTGTAAAGATCATAATTTGCAACATTAATGAGATGGAAGAAATAGAAAATCTTAACTGAAATTGGCACAGTTTGTTACTGGGTCAAATCGGAGGTAATAATAATGGCCTCAAATTTGGAGTTGATTCAACTTGTATTTGTATTTCCAGGCATGGATAACTTCAGCCAACTTACATTCTTTTCTGTGACTAGAAATATAGATTTATAAGGCTTTAAAAAACTCAGTGAGATTAAAAATCAACATTTCCTCTCAAATATAATTTAAAACAGAGACAAAAACCATTATATTTTTCTGGAGTTAGTTATGAGGACACTTCAAAAAGTTCGTGGAAAATGGAATTAAGTTGTACTGCAAAATGATTTTGAAATCCATGCACTGCTTTTTAATAATACATATTTTCCATGAACCTCATGAAGCTCCCTCATAGCTCATGTAAAGTTATTAAAGAAGTTTTCAAAGACATTTATTATGGATACTTTGTCTTTCATTTGCTAACCCTTGAAGACTAAGGAATGAATAAAATGAGCTTAGTTCTTGCAGGTGAATAAATCTTTTTTTAAATCCTAGTTTTGTCCTTGATACTACGATGATGGTGATTCATCTGTCTCTGTACTTTGGAGAACTATGGTTCTAAAAGTTACTTTCCCACTGATTAAGCTGAAGGAAAAGAAAAAAAGAATATGTTGGCCTTAACGATAAAACTAGAGAGGAAAAAGGAAAATATATAGACTTAGGTATTATAGGACACGTTTTTAAAAATTCCTAGTTATTTTCTGCTAGCTAAGATAAACACTCAAAGAGCAAAGAGTGCTGGTTTTTAAAGCATTCCAACTTTTTTTCAAAATTCCTTTTCACACCTAAGTTGAATTTGCATAGATGAGCTACTGCGTTGGATGGATATGGTGACAGAGACTTCAAAGACTGTGTAAAGGCCATATTGTAGGCACGGGTGTGGCCTTGTATATAAAGTGGGCTGTATCAGACCCTTAATGTTTAGCTGAGCTTAGAAACTCCCAACTCATGCTCAAAAACTTGAACGTGGGGGAGGGCTACTATTCTGCGTCCATCGCCTTTTGTCTAAAGGAAAACAGAGCCGCCAGGCTGCCAAGTCCCAGAGATGGATGCTCTGTCAGCTGCTGCAGAGAATCATCTTGCTGGGCCTCCTTAACCTCTCTCTGCGGAAGCAGGGCTCAAACACGTGCATGCCAAGATCATCCTGCCGCAGGCTCAGAGGAACCTGCTGATGGGCGGGAAATGACGGGAGGGCACGAGCCGGCCCAGAAGTGCTGGAGGGTGACTGGCACAAACCTGAGAAGCCGTTGAACGGGGTGGGTCTCCTGTTGGCTCTCAACTTTCTTTTTTAAATCTAACGATGTCATTTTCTCATGATGCAAACTGTAGTTTATCTGCGATCTGAGTCTAGCTATGTAACTTTTTTTTTTTTTTGACAGGCAGAGTGGACAGTGAGAGAGAGAGACAGAGAGAAAGGTCTTCCTTTGTTGTTGGTTCACCCTCCAATGGCCGCCGCAGCCGGCGCACCGCGCTGATCCGAAGCCAGGAGCCAGGTGCTTCTCCTGGTCTCCCATGGGGTGCAGGGCCCAAGCACTTGGGCCATCCTCCACTGCACTCCCTGGCCACAGCAGAGAGCTGGCCTGGAAGAGGGGCAGCCGGGACAGAATCCGGAGCCCCGACCGGTACTAGAACCTGGTGTGGCGGTGCCGCAAGGCGGAGGATTAGCCTAGTGAGCCACAGCGCCGGCCCGTAACCTATCTTTTACATGTTGGGGTAGAGGCCATGCTGATGATGTTAAAAGTTAGTGATCAGTATTCACAGAGCTTTTCAGATCTTGTAAGATGGGGCAAATCCAAGTGCATACGTCTAGTTTATTAAGTTCACTTAAAGACATGCACTAAACCACACTCAGGATGCAGTTACCTTGGATTTTGGTGAATTAATCTCCTGTTGGTAAGAGGATTTAGGGAGGAGAGGTGGAGAATAGGGCTGGGTGGGCTGAGAAAGTGTGGAGGCCAGGTCAGAAACAGAGGTGAAGGAAGAATGAAGCGGAGGAGAGGAGAGCAGACGGCTGGGAAAAGGGACAGTCGTTCGATCTCCCGGAGAGAATGAAGACGGCTTAAAGATCGAGGGAAGACAAGATGTGATTATGCTTGGGTCCAGAAAGAGCTTACACGCTTTTCAGAGAACAGCCTTCAAAATCAAATCGCTGTCAAGTTAACAACCCTGGGAGTGACGTTCATGAAAAATGCTTGCTTTGCAAGCAGGAACTTTTCCTTTTGAATTTGATTCAAAATTCTCAATTCAAACTACAATCAGCTTCATTTTTTGGATATACGTGCTAGAGGTGAGAACAATTTTGTAATATGTTTATATGATAACTTATTCTGAACACAAAAGAGAAAAGTGTCCAATTTCAGGAAAGATCCTTTGCTTTTAGTTTACAGAGTAGGTCACAAATGTCAGCATGTCGCAAAACTAGGACAAATCAGGGTCTGTGCACGGTGTGAGCCGGCTGTCCAGCTTAGCTCCGGGTGCATGCCTCACCTAGGGACTGCCTGCAACAGGCAAAGAGTATTTCCCACAAGCCAGGCCACGTGTCTAAGCACGTCCTGAAGTTGACTAAATGAAAGGGAAACTCCGTTATGGAAATGGTTGACTTAGAAGTTTCACTTACTGCAGGGAATTCTCTGTTCTTGAATAGTGCGCTTGCTTTATACCAACCCGGGGTGGCTGGGGTATTTTGAAACGGAGGAACCATGGAGGAAAATGCCTTGTATGGTGGTGTAATGTGACCCATTCTTTTCATCTCACGATTTCAGTATTTGCCAGTAACTACGCTTGCCCGTTAATGCACAGGAAACACATGTGGGAGATTTAGTTGTTTCTATTTTAAGAATTTCTTAGAAGCCAAAGTTTCAGGGGTGAGGAACCAGCCAATCTCAGGATTTTCTGGGTTGTGGGGTCTTGGGGGCACTGGCCATTATTTATCCCTGAAGACATTCTGTCTAGGTCAGGTGCCTTTATATTAATTATTGCTAAGGTCTTAATAGCAAACTAGGGAGTTTTGAAAGCGATTTTTATTTTTAAAGATTTTGAAGTAAAGAAATCATGGAGGCTATATATTGAATCTTAACAACTGAAAAAACTAAAATGATGGAGGAAAATGAATTCATGGTGACATAGTATGAATCATTGGTTTTATTTGCTAATTTCAATACTTGGCAGTGATTGTCTTTGCTTTTTAAACTACAAGATAGTCATTTTGTTTTCTTTAAAGACAGGTTTACAAGCTCAGGTTTCAGAGGATGTTCCTCCTTTGTTGATTAAAGCCATCATGCAACTGATGATGAAAAAATGAAGATACAACACTCAATTCTTACATAGCTTCCTACCTGAGGAAAATGACCTCTTCAGAAAAGTCAAAAGGGGACAGACTGGATTACAATTTGATTTCTCTTCTTCGACAAGGTGCCATTTATAGTAAAGGTATGGTGTATGGTTTTCTCATTCTGGAAGTGGACTAATCTCTCCATGCATCAATCTCTTTTAAAGTGAGAATAATAGTATAACCTACTTTGCTAGTTTAAGAAACTATTCATTTTCATTTATTTCAAAGAGGGGAAGGAGGAGGAAAGGCTCATTCATCTACTGGTTCACTCCCTAAATGGTTGCAACAACTGAGTCTGGGCCAGGCTGAAGGCAGGATCCAGGAACTCCTTCAGGCACTTTAGCAGCAAGCTGGATTGGAAGCAGAGGCAGGACTCAATCCCAGGTGCTCCGATATGGGATGCAGGTATCCTATGCATCAGTTTAACTTGCTGTACCACGATGCCTACCCCACCTCGCTGGGTTTTGAAAAGGAAATCTGTAGGGGTCTGCACTGTGGCGTAGCAGTTAAAGCCGCTGCCTGCAGTGTTGGCATCCCATACGGGCGCCGGTTCAAGTCCCAGCTGCTCTACTGTGGTCCCGCTCTCTTCTGTGGCCTGGGAAAGTGGTAGAGGATGGCCCGAGTCCTTGGGCCCCTGCACCTACGTGGGAGACCTGGAGGAAGCTCCTGGCTCCGATCAGCGCAGCTCTGGCCATTGCGGCCAGTTGGGGAGTGGACCAGTGGATGGAAGACCTTTCTGTCTCTACTTCTCCTTCTCTTTGTGTAACTCTTTCAAATAAAACATTAAGAAAAAAAAGGAAAGGAAAGCTGTAGAGTTCTTAGAATCGTGGGGTGGTAAGAGCTCAATTATTAGATATAATTATAAATATTGGAATATTAGAAGGTATACAAATTACAATGACTTTTAAAATACAATTTATATTCCTTAAGAAATAATGAGATAATGGAGTTCTCCCCTATAGTTACTCTTATAAGTTCTAATATATATTTACTTTTACATAATATACCCTTTACTCCCTACTTATACTAGGTATTTCTTGTAAGGAAACCTGCTAAGGCAATGTCAAAGTAGGTGTTTATTAATACGATCAATTGTACTACCTAATTTTGGTAAGACTGGTTAGTTCTGCAGTAATCAGGCAACATTAAAATACCTCATTACTGGTTTTTGCTGCATAGCTGTCTTCCTTAGGAATCCTAGGACCTGTGGGAGTGGCTACTGGGTATTTTAAGTGGTCGAGATTTTCCTCCTCCTCCTCTTCAATGTGCAGGTTTGGCGTCAGCTCTGTACCATCCGGGATGCACCACAAGGCATCTGGTTCGTGAAGCCCCCTGCTGATGCCCGGCATGAGCCCCTCCCAGACTTCCTCCTCTTCTCCAATGACAGGGAGGTTGACAGGCAAGGTGCTCACACTGGTGTATGCAGAGGCCACAAACTTATCACCCAGGATTTCAGGCACTTTCTTAGGGTCTGAGAAGCCCCTCTTCATTTGCTTCAAATCTGAAAACCTGTTTGGAGCTGCCTTTCTGGGATCCTGAAGTGGCATTGCCTCGCAAGGCCGGGCTGCAGCGGAAGTCAAAGGTAACAGAGAAGGCGGTGGTCGGGCAGGTTCAGATGCTGCAGGCAATGGGAGGGGAGCAGGGGGCTCCTCCTTAATCTCCAGGGTGCTCTCCTCTGGGATGTCTGCCTGGGCTTGGTCAGCCGATACAGTTAAAGCACTAAACTTCTCCAGTTCATACAACAAGTTGTCCAGGAAAGACGACCGTGTGGGGGCCACGTGGTTTGCTGGTGGATGGGTGCATGTTGGGGACAGCCACCCCTGGGCACATCCCTGGAGAGCTCCTGGATCGGAGCCAGGTGAAGCTGTGTGCTTGGGAGGAGAGGCTGGCTCATGGGATGCCAACTTAGAAACAGCAGGGATTGTAAGTTAAAAGTAACTCAAGAAAATAAAAATGCATCGAAACACAGAGATAGAGCAATGCAGGAAAGGTATGATAGTGAATATAAAAATAATTCTTTAACATAGACACAGATTTGAAGATTTTTCTAAAATTTGAATACATAAAATCACTTATGTTAATTAGCAAAGTTGCTTAAAAAGCAAAACCCTGCTAGTTTTGGAAAGGGTCTTAAGTGTCAGATAACACAATAAAGGCTTCATAGAGATTATGAGGACAGACAGTAAAACCTTAGGAGATGTAATTGATTAGTCTACCTCTTTTGAATAATGCTTAAAAGATATTATGGGGTCTAGATACTGATGTCATAGTGTAAGTGATTCTGAAGAAATGTTAATAGATAATGAGAATCAACAGTGAAACTCTGTTCCCTGAACATGTTTATTTGTTCTTTCTTCCTGCAGTAGTGCCCAGCCTTTTGAACTTCCACAATTTGCTCACTTATGTTCACAAGGTGATTATCACACATGGTGTAATAAAGTATTTAAGTCATTATACATTAACATCTTCCTAAGTGACTAAGTTCCAAAACTATCTTTCAAGAAGCCCATGATCAGAATGAAACTGAACTTACATAGCTCCTGCTTCAAAGTTAAAAAACAAACAAAAACCCCTAAAACCCTAAGTAAGTGTTTATATACTGAAGGGGCATCTGATGCCAACAGGAGAGACAACTTCTGCTATGACTCCCATTCTCCCTCAAAAGCTTGACATTTTATGTAAACACAAGGAGGTAACATTTATGAAGCTTAATCTCCTGACGTAAAAAATGGGTGTAGGACTATACTTCTGGATCTATTAATAGTCATAATGTATTTTGATCTTTTACACAAAACAGTAAGTTTAAACTCTTATGCAAATTCATCAAAAGTAATTCTAGAATGCCACCTGTTAACATTCCAATACGTCAATTGATCGCTCCTGGGATAGAAGACAATGCTACATGCTCTACAAATGGAGGGTCATTGCTGCAGGATCCGTGCTCACACTGAGGACTGGCCTCAGAGAGGCACAGGGATGACCTTGTATTTCAGTTCTTTGCAAGTACATGACTGCGGCTTAGAAAGATTCTGCAGATATAGCTTCTTGTTGATTGTTTAGGACAATACTTCACACATGCAGCCACCACTCTTGGGCCTTGGGCTATGTAAGAGCACAGTGATTTCCCCACTTAACTTGACTTCCGTGTCTTACAATAAGAATGGGGCACTGGCTGAGTATTTTTTTTTTTTTCAGAAAAGGAAATTACGATATCCTGTCAACACAGGAGGGCATAAAGGGCACAAAATGTCACAAAACTCATGTAAGCATCTTAATACAAGATTTGGGACTCAAGGTTGCTCATAGCACCTGATAGCAAGTATGCTTTGTGACTGGGTGGACAGCAACTCATTAATTCCTGTAGATGATGATTTTTTAACTAAACATAAATTACCCAAGATACATTCAGTAGTCTACAGCAGTTCCCTTACGGGCTAGAGTTCTATTTTCTTTTTGTCATGTAACATGAAAGCCTGTGAAATACATATAAAGATCATTCCATTTCACTTTTGCTTTATCTCATGGACAGAAATATTATGTAGATGGAAAAGAATGATCTTTAAATTCCATTATCATCACTGCTACCAACATTACTATTACTGCTCTTACTCTAGTACCATTACTGCCGTAGTCAGCACTATAACATGTTAAGTTACAAGTGTTCAACATTACAATAGACTTGTTTATGCTGAAAGTCAAGGTAAGTAACCTGGAATACCTATGACATAAAAATGAGATACTTAGCTTGTCTTCCAGAAGTATTAGCATTGAATTCTATTGTACAAAAAAATCATAAACAATAGCAACTTACATTAGTCTCCCCTAAAGGCAAGAAATGTGATTTGAAGGTGTCAAAGAGTGATTCATAAATTAAGTCCCTTCCTCTGTTTAAATATCAGTTGGAAAATAGAATGGATAACATTTAGAGCAGTTTTGTCTGTCACTCTATAGAAGTACATATTTGTCTTTCTGAAAATGGTTGTTGCAGCACACTGAGAACTTGCTTCCATTGAGCCACTGGTGTCACAGCGTGGCTTACCAGTTGGCATGAAACTGTTTGCTTAAAATTATGGACTTAAGATTTTCCTCATTTTTTCCATCAGTGAGAATAAGAAACTAATTAATGAAATGTGTGCATTCTATTTAAAATCTGATATTTTAGGAAAAGTGAAAATATATTTAAATTGTATTTGTAATGAAGATTAAAACATTGTGACCTACAATATTATATTGTCATTGCTAATTAGGGCACATGAAAGAATTTTTGAAATGTTAAATAAACCTTTGTAGGACGTGCTTTTCTTCCCTATAATGTTTAATTTCCACTCACAGTCACTTCTAATTTATCTAGTAATTCTTTTAAAATGAGGGCATGGAGCATAACACAACTGTATTAATGAAGATTCTATCTTTTCTCTTTATCAGGAGAAACTACCAAAGGAAGAATGCTGATCTCTTAATGCTAAGCCTTGGAAGTGAAGTAAATATACTTAAGAGATTCTGAAAAACTTTGTAACCAAACACACAAAACTGTATGGAATCAAACTTCTCTATTACTCAGTGACACAGCAATCAGCCACAACAGAAACCCAGTCTTCAAAGGGGATCAGAAGAAACAAAAATGCCTCTCAAGATAGTAGCTTCTTGGATCACTCATTTATGTACAATTTTTCTAAGACTCCTTGTCAAGGAGTAGTTTAGGTCACGAGGGTGCTGCCTTGCAATGATCTTGCAGGGAACACGTGATTCCACACTTCAGTCACATCTGATTTGTGGCTCTAAGTCTGAGAGTGCTGGATGCTTTCTATGTTTCAATCTTGATGTCTATTAAAATAATTGACAAGTTAAGGAACTTAATCTATTTTTTAAATGTTGGGAAGTACTTTTCTGATGTTTTAGAAGTAATTCCTTAATAACTTAAAGTTTTATACTTTGAGGTTAGTGTAAAGAGAAAGAAATCCCTAGATACCATCCAGTAAGAGAATGTATTATAGTTCAAAAGAAAAACATCACATTGTGGCAAAGAAAGTAGAATAGCCTTTTCCAATTAGTAAATTCAGGAAGAAAATTCTCTTAAATTACATAATGAGAACAACCACCGACTTTAGTTACTAGCTTATGTGAATGAGTAAAACTGGAATACAGTTGTCCTAAAACCAATAAAAAATAAACTTGAGGACTTCTAATAGCCCACAATATTTTCATTCAAATTGATAATCAAACTTATAAACCCTAATTTAAATATTTTGCTCTATTTCTTATTCCTGTTTAAAAAAACCCGAGACTTTTAGAGAATTTTGTCAACTAATATCTGTTTGTTCTTGAGATACACCATTCTGACATATAGTATTGTATGCTGTATATATTAATATATTTGTATGCTATAATTATATGCATATCAATTTATTTATAGTCTTGTGATACAAATAAAATTTGCATATATAAAATCAAAGCAAATCAAGCTTTGGAAAAAATCAAGTTTCTGAAAATAAATCCACAGCAATACAAATATATATCATATGAGGTTTTATAATTTTGAATATTTTAACTTGAAAATGGAATTAGCAAAATCCAACATTAAATCTTTATGCCAGTACCTATTTGGGAAAAATTAAATTACATTGGTTGACGTGGCACTCACACATGTAGAAACATCATATATAAATTCCTTTCTTTGCACCAGACATGATGTTCTAGTCTAATATCCTAACATCACATACTGGTGATCTATTCCAAGCTCCCAATAGTAAATAGATATGCTAGAATGCTTCCTTACCTTATTTGAACTTAAGCTGTGGATTCTATCACTGGAGTAGCTGTGGGGTATTGGAGGGTCAGGGTAATCCTCAGGACCTTTTGTGTTCTTCTTGACGACTTCCACATAGGACACAGGGAAGATGCCTTGTCTGTTGGTTCCTGGAATTTTACCTTCGTACCAGTTTTGATCAACTCTTTTAAGAAGAATAACTCTATCTCCCTGTAAAGAAAATTAGGAAAATATATTTTAAAGGCATATAAATATAAAAATACAATTTTCATTTTTAGTTTTTCTTTGGGAAAAGTTTTACACCTCTAGTTTTTGTTTAATCAGGGGAATGCAAATAAGGTCCTGGTGCTTACTAGGAAAATACAGGATATCTGTATATATGCAATGAAATCATCCACTCATGACATGAGCTCATCCCTAAAATTTCTTGGTTAATGTGAATGGCTTGTATATGTGCTCACTAGTACTGTGTGGAATGATATGTGTAAGTCATTTCAGAAAGCAGAAGAGTGGAACAGAGTAGCACCATCCTTTCTCTGATAGATTTGATGGAATGAGCTCCTGCAGAAAGATTTAGAAAGCACACCACAGATCAAGGTGTTGGTGTGTCTAAAACAGGTTGCAGAAATAACCTATAGAAGGGATAGCATAGAACATACACTACTTTCTTCTTTAAGCTACATGTGTTACGTACTGACAGTCACTAAAGGAATTGGCACAAAGGTAGTGCCTACAGTTTCTATAAACTGTAGCCATGACTGACACCCCGCAGGTCTGGACAAGGACAGCATAACACCAGCATCCATTCTGGTTGGTTAGTGGCCATGCACTACTGGTCATCATATATTTGAATAGGGCCCTTGGCTTTTGTAAAAATATAAGTTTCTACAATCTCTATTACTGCTGTCTGCAATGATCAAGTCAATGCCACAGGACCTAATTGAGACAGAGAGAAAGGGGGAGAGAGAATTCCTATCTACTGATTCATTCATCAAATGCTCACAATGGGTGGAGGCTGGAGCTGGGAACTCAAAACAAGTCTCCTATGTGGGTGGCAGGAACCCAACTATTGGAGCCATCACCTGTTCTCTCTCAGGTTCTGTGTTGGCAGTAAACTACAGTCAGGAGCCAGAGCTGGGAATCAAATCTGATGTGAGACATGGGCATATTAACTGCAACACCAAATGTCCTGTCTCCCAAGTTTGATTCAAAAGCACACATGGTCCAGAAATAAGTAGGCAGTTATTGTTAAACAGCAAAAGTTTCAGCCGCTTTCGAAGTTTGGGCACCTGCACCTGCTAGGATGATAGAAATGGCACAAAACCAACAGCTCCAGTACAATAAGTGGCCCTTCTTCAGGTGCTCCTCCAGGTAAAAGTCCTCTTTTGGTCAAAAATGCTAGGTGACTTATTTAAAGTATGTCTCCACCCCCAAGCAGAACATACTAAGGGAAAGTGAATCTCTCCAAATCCTAAAATTGCAGATTAAATATTCTGCTAGGCTGTTGTGTGGTAAGACGCGTTGGTGAAGGCTTTAATTAAAATGTGAAACAAAGACGATATGGCACACATATTGCTGTCTGGTCTCTCTGCTGGGTGGGACAGAGAAGATGGCAGAAGAAAATCAGTGGATGATGCAGAGTGAAGACTGAAAGAATAGGAGGAGGTCCTGCCAATGGCACACCTGTAGGATTTCTTTCTATTGAGCCTGGCTAAAGATTTCAGCAGAAGGTGTGCAGGTGCCAGAATTGCCCTAAACACCTTGTATTATTATCAAATCTGTCTTGTGGGCAGAGCAGTTACCTTAAACGCTTCTCATTGTTTAGCAAACAATAAAATATTTCATTGATCATTCTCAACTCTGTGCGGTAACAAGATGAAGGAGAGATACTAGAAGTGGACAGGCTGCTAGTGGGTCAGTCTCAAGGCCAAGAGCAGGATGACCAAGGAAGGGCCTGCACAGAGAGCTCCTCTCAAAAGCAAAAGAGGAAGGCTTCTTGTTACAGGAGGACCATTACTTGCTTTCAAGATAAAGAAAAGTGAGCTGTGGGAATCTCATTCTTAAAAGATTGACTAATAGGGCAGCAGAACAATCATATTTTGAAGTGTATTTAAATGCGTTTCCTTTTGAGGCTCGCACATGTATGACTCTGAGTTCAGCCTGAGGCACCCTGGGGAGGGGATTTGGGGCTAAGTCCCCAAAGGAAGCTGTGCGTCCTACAGATGTCCACATTTCACCTGGAGGGACACAGGGGCCAGGAGGCAATGGGGACACTGGGCAGCCTTCAGGAGTTGTTTGTAGAATATGGGGAAAACAGAAATGGCTAAGAAGGAGGATAACTTATTTTACTTTTGAAAATATATAGTCCCATCAAATGCACTAATGAAAAAAATAGCCAGGTTACCTTTCTCAGTGACAGCTCCACATTTGTGTCTGCATTGAAATTGTATTTGGCTATAGCTTCTCCGATCTCTCCAGGCTGGGCCGGGGGAGGTGGTCTTGCAGGCTGTGCCTTTTCAGGAGGTGTGAGCTTCTATGAAGGAAAACGATCATTGATTCTCTTTTAACAAAGTCTCAACATACAGACATGTGCCTTCTTAAAGTATTTGAAAGGAAGAGAGAGAGAGAGAGAGAGGGAGGAACCACCATCTGGTGGTTCACTCTCCAAATGCCCACAACAGTCCAGACTGGGCCAGGCCAAGACAGGAAGCAAGAACTGAATCTCAGTCTCTTATGGAGGTGGCAAAAACCCAAGTACTTGGGCAGTCATGTGCTGCTCTGATGGGCTGGATTAGCAGGAAGCTGGAAACAGGAGCAGAGCCGGGACTTGAACTTGGGCACTTGGGTGTGGATGTGGGCATCCCAAGTGCATTTAACCACTGTGCTAGATGCCCACCCGAGTCATTGATTCTTGAACCTTTGATGACTTTTGAAGCCACATTCATCCGTGAGGGGAGGGGAAAGGCCATACCTCTACGTAGGAGATGGGAAAAATGCCCACTCGTCCATGGTGCTCTCCCTCATACCAGTTCTGATCAATTTTCCTGAGGATGTAGACAGTATCTCCTTTCTTAAATGATAACTCCCTGGAACAGACATGTTTAAATAGGGTTTATTGATGTACAGCAATTCTTAAGATCAATGTGCTTCTAATATTGAAAAAATCCATTGAATCCAGTGAGAAATGAATTTTCCTTGCAACTTCTTAGAATTCACATATAATATTAGGTTAGAAGTGATTTTAAAAACAAGTGTAAGCATGTCTGATATAAATCACAAGTAAATTAATATGAAATTTAAAGGAGGGGACAGACTATTGTGGTCTAATGCTCAGTTGCTAGAGAGGCGCTGTGAAGCTTTGCACAATGATGGATTCGTTTTGTACTGATTTTTTTTTCGTCCTGAAGCTAGTTAGCTATTTATCCACCTGTCTACCTTTCCCTTTGATGTGTAGAAGTGTATATTAAAACAAATTTCATGAAGCCCCAGAACAAAAGTGCCAATACCGGAAACATTTTTACTTGTGATTTGTCAGGATCTGTGGTTGACAGATATTTCAGTAGGATATCCTGATAAAAAATTTGAGTCACAAGATATAATTTTATTTTTCAATACAGCATAATGATAAATGTTTTAAGTCCAAAGGCATGCACAAATACTTGTTGTCTTCCTCACAGCTTTTGGTTTTAAAAAGAAAAAAATATTTTCAAGACACTATTTTTCCATGTTGGCTGTTTCTAGGCAGATAGTAGGTATATTTAGGTAGTTAACGATTTTAAGTTCTGAAGACTATTCATTTTGAATAACTCATGCCTAAATTTATCAACCTCATTATGTCAGCTTTTCATGGCTTCCTCACCCAGGTTTGTTCATGATATTGCCTCCAAAATTTTAATTTGATGGAGGGCAATCAGTTCATTTTTCCCCAAGAGCCCCCATTTTCCTACATATATGCCTTCCTACTCTCAAATATTCTGCTTGGTTTAGTCCATAATTTTCAGCTGGGCCATTTACTAGTTCAGAATATATGAGGTAGAGCGATTTATTTCAGTGTAGAATATTTCTCACTGATTTAAATTACTGAAAATTACTGTACATTAAAAGAATCATTACACATTTTAAGTGCTTAAAATCTTCAAATTGCAAGGGCTTTAACGTTTCAGCAATCTTACAGACGAAGACGACTCCTACAGCTTTACATTCAAATATAGTACTTCCATCTAATGTTCACAACCCAATAACTTTATTTATTCTAAGTATGTTTTGCTTCTGGATGGAACTAACTGTTTTTAATGTAAATTAGATGTCTACTTTTTTTCCTTTTACATATGAAATATTTTCTATTTGTATGGATTACATTTAAAAATTTGAAGTCTTTTTTTAAAAAGAAGTCTTAACTATTCCTCATCTCGGAGTTAGATTTCTGAGCCCCTTATAATAGATTTTCATTTTTTGTGCTTGCAATTTTGAATCATGACTGGTGAAGACATTTGGAAATTCATTTTATGTCTTCTCCATATTTAATAATTGAGAAATTATGTTTGGTGAGTTATATTTGTTGTTATTAATCTTTATTTTTTAAATTTTTTTATTTAATGAACATAAATTTCCAAAGTACAGCTTATGGATTACAATAGCTCCCCCCCCCCATAACTTCCCTCCCACCCACAACACTCCCCTCTCCCACACCCTCTCCCCTTCCCTTCACATCAAGATTAATTTTCAATTATCTTTATATACAGAAGATCAATTTAGCATATATTAAGTGAAGATTTCAACAGTTTGCACCCACACAGAAACACAAAGTGTAAAATACTATTTGAGTACTAGTTATAGCATTAATTAAACACCTAAGAGTAATTGTGCATTAATTACAGAGTTCAACCAATAGTTTTTTAAACTTTTTTTTTTTTTTTTTTTGACAGGCAGAGTGGACAGTGAGAGAGAGAGACAGAGAGAAAGGTCTTCCTTTGCCATTGGTTCACCCTCCAATGGCTGCCACGGCTGGCGCGCTGTGGCCGGTGCACCGCGCTGATCCGAAGGCAGGAGCCAGGTGCTTCTCCTGGTCTCCTATGGGGTGCAGGGCCCAAGCACTTGGGCCATCCTCCACTGCCTTCCCTGGCCACAGCAGAGAGCTGGCCTGGAAGAGGGGTAACCAGGAAAGAATACGGCACCCCGACCGGGACTAGAACCCGGTGTGCTGGTGCCGCTAGGTGGAGGATTAGCCTATTGAGCCACAGTGACGGCCTAACCAATAGTTTTAAGTAGAACATAAAAAATACTAAAAGGGTAAAGTATTAAGTTCTTTTTCTTTTTTTTTTTTTTGTTTGTTATATAGTTATTTTTTATTTTTTTATTTAATAAATGTGAATTTACAAAGTACAACTTTTGTATTGTTGTGGCCCCCCCCAACCTCCCTCCCTCCCGTGGCCCTCCCCTCTCCCACTCCCTCTCCCATCCTGCCCTTCATCGAGTTTCATTTTCAATTACCTTCATATACTGAAGATCAACTTAGTATATACTAAGCAAGGATTTCAACAGGCTGCACTCACACAACCACACAAGGTATAGGGCATTGTTCGACTAGTAGTGTTGTTTTTAAGTTTCATAGTAAAACACATTAAGGACAGAGATCCTACGTGGGGAGCCTGTACTCAGTGACTCCCGTTGTTGATTTAACAATTGGCACTCTTATTTATGACGTCAGCAATCACCCGAGACTCTTGCTATGAGCTGTCTAGGCTATGGAAGCCCCTTGAGTTCACCGACTCTGAACTTTTTTAGTCAAGGCCATATCACAGTGGAGGTTCCTTCCTCCCTTCAGAGAAAGGCGCCTCCCTCTTTGATGGCCTGTTCCTTCTGCTGGGGTCTTGTTCACCAGGATCTTTCATTTAGATTGTTTTTTGCCACCGTGTCATGGCTTTCCATGCCTGTGAGACTCTCATGGACCTTTTAGCCAGATCCGAATGTCCCAAGGGTTGATTCTGAGGCAGGAGTGCTGCCATTCTATGAGTCTGCTGTGTGTCCTGTGTCCCCCGCGGGATCATTCTCTCCCTTTTAATTCTGTCCTTCATTATTTGCTTACACTGGTCTTATTTGTGAAATCTCATCGACACATACCCTATCTTTTTGATTGGTTGTGTATTTATACTTATTACTTTACCAAGTGCGCTAGCATTGGTACTTGCCTCCTTGGTAAGACTGAGTTGAAATCCCCTGGCACATTTCTAGTTCCACCATTGGAGGTAAGTCCGAGTGAGCATGTGCCAACCTATATATTTCCTCCCTCTCTTATCCCACTCCTATGTTTAACAGAGATCACTTTTCTGTTAATTTTAAATGCCTAAGAATGATTGTGCATTCATTACAGAGTTCAACCAGTGGTCTTATGTAGAATAAACAGAGCAACAACAACAACAACAACAACAAAAATACTAAAAGGAATAAAATAGTAAGTTGTTCCTCAACAGTCTAGACAAGGGCTGATCATGTCATTGTTATTAATCTTTCTTAAATTTTACTTTTTCTTAAATTTACTTTTTCTTAAATTACAATTAAAGGGAAATTGCTTTTAAAACAGATACATCGGTATCTTGTTCACAAGTTGTCAGGCATCAGAAGCACTCACGTCTAACTATGAACTGAAATGACTTCAAATGTGACTGGTTCTTCTGTAACTGCTGCACTCTGGGTGTGTGAGCCTTGTCAAGCTGCACGAGTTATCTGTCATGCTGACTTCTGTGTCACATAGAGAACTGTACCGGGAGGAGGAACAATTGCTCTGTTCCAGAACAAAGAGGAATCTGATGAATTTGCAATAAGATCAATTTATTTATAAGAGAAATGGTTTTTCCTACTACGATTATAAGATGACTTCTTTAGGTGGTTATTTAATCTACTTCACTGAAGGGTTATTCAATTGGCTTTTGTGGCTTTACAAAGACTTGGCCTTGACCTTGAAGAAAGGTGGAAGTGGTGCACGCAGCCCTTGTAAAAGGTTGTGCCATTTGTCCTTCCAGGAACAGCCCATGCAAGGCTAAATTGCCCTGAGACTCTGCTGGCCTGGGCAAGGGCCAAGAGGTGGCCCAAGGAGGAGGGTGAGGGGCGTGGCTTTCGAAGTACATAAAACCCAGAGACAGATTCAGCACCCCAAGGACCTTTCCTCTGCACCCCATGTTATCTTCCTCTTCAAAGCTTGTGAGCCTTGGGGGACACCCTTCCTGTTCCACATGCCCTAACATTTCTTGGGGGTTTACGTATCTAAAGAAGCTTTTGATTAATTGATACAAAGAAGAAAGGAAATATCTGTGCTCTCTATCACTGTTCTACAAAATGGACACACATCACACAAATTGCCACATCATGTCCAAACAACAGTAATTGTGACCAGAGCGAAGTGGAAACAAATCAGATGTTACTCAGCTAATCAAAAAGGAGATGTAGACTCTTCCTCAGGACTTTATTTTTATATTGGATCTAAGCCAGGTCTGACCTTTTAGAAACCATTTTTGTTATTTAGTTGATTCTCTATTTCAGCAACATTACCAAATTTTGAGTGACTTTGTTTTTTATTCCTTTTGCCAGAGGCAGTTTCTAGAACTGATTAATTCATATCATAGGCACTTTCATAAATAAAATATCTTGGTTTCATATATTCAAAGAATACAGTGTAATTTAATGGCAATTTACAATGGATTTGATATTTTAAATTCTGATGGAGACCCAAATGTCCTAATAAGTAGGTTCACACGGGCCTGGAGAAATCTGGACAACTCCTTCCTATTTAAATGTTTTCATGTGCTCAGTACTAATCTTTCTCAGCCATAGGTCTATCTGATGAACGAGTTTCTAAAGAAAAAAAGTAAAAGAAAAAGTGCAACACAGGAATATGAAAACATTAACACCAAAAGACCACAGCACAGAACTTTGCTCAGAATCACTAAACTTTGAGTGTGGAGAGCTGCAGCTTTTACTGCAGGAATCTTTGTACACATTTTAGTTATCAAAAGAGTAGGGTTTGCAAATGTTATCCAGTCCCCCTGTACGTGTTAGTTAAAACCCAACACTTATTTTTTAATTCATTCCTGACATAGAAAATCTAGAAACAAATGTTCTTATTTTTGTTTATCCTGTTCTTCTGGACTCATTGTACTCAACATGTTCAGTGCAATTTAAAACTATTTTTTAGCTAAACACAAATGAAAAATAAACTTTCCCCATCCTAATTAACTCCGGAGAAGCCCTTTAATTAGAGTGGATTGCTGACTTGGGAATTAGGAATTATTTGTAACACATCCCATTATAGTGTTTATCTCTGGAAGTATTACTGACATTCTCATATTTAAATTCACCTTAAACATATGATGAATATTCATCTTACTTACTTAGATGTCTGAGCCTTAAAATCATAAACAGCTTTTGCAGGCAATTTCTGAAAAGGAAGGTCAATAATTAATACTAACCTACAATTTGAATTTTCCACAAGATAGCAGTTTCTTATGCATAAAAACAAAGTGAAACCTCACAGAATGATTAAACATAGAGAATGTAAACCTCTTAGGAGGCACTTTACAAATAAATCAATTAGTTCTGTATTTGAGCTATAACGGGAAGATACTAGATTGCCTATTCACCATCCTATTTTATCTTAGGCACTAACGTGGATGAATGCCTAATAGGAGAATAAAATGTGTGCAGAGAGTCTGTCCCAGGTGGAATGTTGGCTGTTCCAAGGCTTTTCTAAGGAGAGTTGTGGAAGGTCAATTGCTTTCTCTCCTGTGGGTTGACACAACTCCTTCTGAAGCATGATAAAAAGATCAAAACTCATGAAGTCCTCATCCCCTTTTTGATATTGGTATATTAATATTTAATATTAGCATTTTAGCAAGTTAATCTTAGCTCACTTATCACTGTGAGGCAAGTTCGTGGCCAAAAGTACAGGCACGATCACCTGACAGGTGTTGGAGGGTTCAGGAATCCTGCAGCACACGGTCCACCAGCTGCTCATCTTCTAGTGCTGATGTAGTATGAACATGTGACTCTCCTCAACCTTTGGGGCCCACGAAACCATCTGAGGCCCTATGTAACTTATAACTAGCTACCCAGCTCCTCCTTTCCCACCAACTGATATTCCCTATGCCCCATTCTCTCTCCCTGTGAATCTGATGAAGGTTAGGGTATCTGGACCATTTCTGACTTCTTCGGGGTTCTCACAGGCACTGGGCTATACCTGTAAGATTTTCCTGGAGTGGCCACTGGTTTATAGTCAAGGTTTGTTTTCAACAAACCCCTGTGGCTTTAGGGCAGTTTATTAGCAAGAGCTCTAGTCCTGGCTCAGGGCCACGGACAGAGTCAGTCGGTACAGGGTTCGCAGGAGAAGTGCCACAAAGACCTGGGGTACTTAAAAGTGTTTTCCAGATATTACCTCCAACAAAAGAGATGTATGTGAATCTGTACTGATGTGCAATATAGTTGGCCTAGGGTTTGCTTCCTGAGTGATGGGCAGGAAATTGTACAGAGAAAACTTCCTATCTCTACTGGGTGGCCCAACTCTGGACTCTTTTAGATCACTCTGCTATATCATGGGTGTCAGCTGAAGACCCAGAGAGACCTCCCTGCCAAAACTGGACCACAGCTGGGGAAAACTGGAGCTAGGGTCAGAGTGCAAGTTGCTTCAAGTCCTCTTCTCAGGCTCCAAGGAAGACTGTTCCTAGTCTCTCAGTTGGATTTCCATCTTTCAGTCTGGGTTCTCTACTGGTTTTGAAATCCATTTGGCTGGCAAGTGCTTGATCAAGTATGTTAAAGGACTCCAATGTTATTAAACTAACTACTACCTCTTTTTCTGGAGTTCCTCTTCTTTCCCGCGGTGCACTTCTCCCCAAGTCAGTCAAAGTGGACGAGTAACTTCTAGGGGACTCGCGGTCTATTAGAAAGGAAAGGGCCCGTCAGAGCAAGAATCTGCTTCATTAAAAACAGGCTTCCTCCACCATTTTCCTTGGTGGCAACTATTGCCATTCCCCACCCCCCATATTTGGAGAGACATTTTTCCTGAAAACATGGCTGTAGAACTCTTATAATGACAACATTGTGATATGAGGTACAAAAAACCATGTACATTTCAAAAGGAAAAATATTCCAGGTTGCAGAAATTATAATAGTTTATATAAATGTCAAATAACTAATTATGCTATAACATCCAGTGTAGATAATTCAGTTATAGGAACTTTTCATATCAAAAATTTGTAATACTTTCTTTTTTTTTTTGCCCCCAACTTATAATTATTATGAAGTCTATAGAGGATGGAGAATTTGGAAATAGCAACAATAACTTGAGAAACAAACATTTTGTGGAAAGACAATACAGCAATGTAGGAATGAAAAAGAAAGACAAAATCAAATACAGTATGATGACAGGACTATAGTCATATCCATTCTGCTGATGCTGTACCCTTTACCTATGGCCTTCCCTTCTAACTAGCTGATAAATTACCCTATCAGAGAATAAATACATCTTTCAAGAAATCAAAGAGCTAAGCAGAAAGCATTGCATTAGTGGGCAAATTGCTTAGAAATATTGAATTAAAGGATAAGTCATTATATTACAAAATAGTGACTAAATTTTTTAACAGTATGTTATACTTTACACATGCATATGATTTATATTTATAAATATACTGAGGTGAAAAGTATTCCAACAGTCTATATTGTAGGATTTACCCGTGTAAGTTAATCAGTTAATTGTTTCTTTTATGTTTTTAATAAAATTAATTAGTTATATTAAAATGTATAAAATATATATTAAATTGTTCTGTTGAAAATTAAGAAGCATTAAAAATGAAATTAACTTTATTCTCATGTGAAGGAATTTGAAATTCTGGTCCACAAGAAGAAAACACTATATAAAGATTTTGACTACTTTGACTATATGGAAGAGTTAACTGCTTACAAGTGGGATATGACATCTGAAGGGATTTCAAAAGGTTCATGGAAAATACGTACTATGGAAAAATATGCATGGGTTTCTTTTTTTAAAAAAGATTATTTATTTATTTGAAAGGCAAAGTGACAGGGAGAGGGAGAAGGAGAAGAAGAGACAGAGAGAGACAGAGAGAATGTTCCATCTATTGTTTTGCTCTGGAAACACCCACAGGAGCCAGGGCCTGACCAGGCTGCAGCCAGGAACCAGGAACTCCATCTTGGTTTTTCACATGGATGGCAGGGACCCAAGTACTTGGACCATCCTCCCCTGCCTTCCCAGGCGCATTAGCAGGAAGCTGGGTTGGAAGTGGAGCAGCTGGGACTTGAACTGGCAATCAGATACTGAGGAGAGCATAACCTGCTGTACCAGAAGGCCCATCCCAACTATCCACAGATTTTAAATTTTTTGCACCAAAATAAATTTAACCCCATTTTCCATGAACTTTTTGCAATACCCTCATATACAGATAAATGTCTAACTCCGAGTTGTGAATTCCAAAGTCTGTGGGTTTAGGAAGGTGACATGACCACAGATTTTAGGTAAAACCTAACCAGTAAGATCACGCATGCTGGAGGATTATGTGTAGTTCACTCGTCATTCTACGTTAATACACTATTATGATCATAAGGCTTTTATAATGACAATGTTTTAAGTTAATTCTGCTACTTAATGGCATAGAAACTATTTTTCACTTGGGTAAACACAGTTGGAATGTAAATATTTTAACAAAAGCAAAATATTCTCTAAGTGCATTTCAAAGCCTTCTCAAATCATAATCCACTCTGCATTTAAAATTGAGAAGTGATTATGTTAGCATATTAAAAAACTGAATAAGGTAATTTTTTTTTATTTTATTTTATTTTTTTACAGGCAGAGTGGACAGTGAGAGAGAGAGAGAGAAAGGTCTTCCTTTGCCATTGGTTCACCCTCCAATGGCCGGCCTGGCCGGCGCGCTGCAGCCGGCGCACCGCGCTGTTCCGATGGCAGGAGCCAGGTACTTCTCCTGGTCTCCCATGGGGTGCAGGGCCCAAGCACTTGGGCCATCCTCCACTGCACTCCCTGGCCACAGCAGAGAGCTGGCCTGGAAGAGGGGCAACCGGGACAGAATCCGGCGCCTCGACCGGGACTAGATACCGGTGTGCCGGCGCTGCAGGCGGAGGATTAGCCTAGTGAGCCGTGGTGCCTGCCTTGAATAAGGTAATTTATTAAAATTTAGGTCCTAAAAAAAAAAAAAATTAGGTCCTGCTCCATCTTGATTAGAAAGTGAGATTAAAGAAACTATAGAAACATTTTAAAAATTTGAATGTATTTCAAGCATGTTGTATAGTATAAAGGAGAGAAAAGATAAATGCTAATAAGTAAATTCATACAATTGATAATTGAATCACTTATGTTATACTAACATCAAATATAAATAACATCCTTTTTTTACTCATGGAGATTGCATTTTACACTATGGATGCTGAATTAGTAGAGGCTTGAGTCCCCTCTCTGTTATCTACTATCTATGTGAACTTGGGCAAATGTCTGTCCTTTCTAGGATTCAAGTTCCTCAATTGTAAATCTGTTTACAGTAACACACATCCCACTGGCTTATGGCCTTTTTAAATCTGCTGCTCTGTTGGTGACTCAAGTTCCTTCCAGCCTCTTAAAATCTGCATGGCAAACAGATGCATTTTATGAATCAATGAAAATAACTGAATAAAAATATTAAAACAGCCTGTGCTTGTAAGTTACCTAATCCTCACAAAAATGGCCTGTGTTTGAACTGCTATTTGTCCTAGCAATTCAGCGATGACTGTTGTTTCAGTCAACTGTGAAAAGGCAGTTGAGGTTCACTTTCAACTTGAGCAATCTAACTCACATTTCAATATGATTGTTATAGCAGAAACAAAATAAACAGATTAGTCATGGGAAAGAAAAGAATGTGAGTGCACTGAGTGATGGAAATGGGATTGTTACAGACACAGCTTAAAGATACATTCACAAAAATTTGACCCCAATTGCGTCCTTTAAATAGAGAAAATTATTAAACTAACCCTGGTCTCTAACTGCTCACAATCACTAATCACATAGTTTAGTTTTGCTTCCTGAATGTTTTGATATACTGAAGTATCTTCTGTGTCGTATGTGACAAATTTATTTTATTATTAAATTATTAATGTATTATTAAAATAATTCACTTGTTGAGTGAATGACTATAAAGTTTTAAAGATAACATACAAATAAAAGGCTATTTGGTAAACTGTTGACTTTGATTCACTTTGCTATGAAAATAGAACTCTTCGGGATACCAATATTTAATGATAGTTTCGGTCTTTAAATATTCTTTTTAATTTGATGAATGGCTTAATTCGCTTAGTCTAACAGTTATTTCAATCCTAACAGTACGCTACAAAATGCTTTCCTTTTTGGTTTTGAACGAGTAAATTTTTGTGAATTGATGATCACTTTAAGCCACACATAAAGTCCAAGTATCACATGAGCAAATGAGAAATATTCAGGAAGATACGCTTGTACAATGAGCATTTGCCTCGCAACACACAGCGATGCTGGTGGTCTCACAGCTCAGCACGATGAGATGTAGGAATGGAACATGACAGAGCTGGAGGGTGAGTATCGGAACCACAAGGACAAAGCAAGGGAAGTTCATCCACCTTGGAGCCCCAGCGCACTGTCACTGTCGTGGTGGTGGAAGTTGTTATTGGTGGTGTCGCCGTCGTGGAAAGAGGCACTGTGGGGCATTCTCCCACAGTCGTTCTGGTACAACGGACAATGCATAGCACCATCGTGAGGCAGTGGGTGGAAAGGCTGGTGCACGGGGCTCCTTTTCAGAGCCCGGAGGGAGGAATTCCTCTCGGGAATATCTGGCAGCAGTTCACTGATTAGACGGTGCAATATACTGTTGTCTGGCAAACTTCCCCTTCTCTTCTCGGCTTTGATTTGGTCACAAATGTCCTGGAGGGCAGAGTCCAGAGCCTCAAACACAGACGTTTTACATTTTGCCTTTTCGGTCTGTTTTTTGGGTGTTGAATTTCTTTTCCTCCGGAAAGGCACAGGACTGACCAGAAACGCAAGTTTAGACAGGCCAGGGTCCATTTCTCGTCTTCTGGGCTCCTCGGCATGTTCATGTTTGGCTCTTTCATGCTTTAACATGGTGGTAAAGCGAGTATAGGACGCAGGGCATCTGCCTTTGCAGGAACTGATGAGGTGCCGGTGGTGATGGTGGTGGTGATGGTGGTGGTGATGGTGGCTGGACCCATAAAAACTTTCAGAGGAGGTGAAAGAATAGTGATCGAAGTCACTTTCGCTGCAAAAGGATGACCCTTCTACGTGAATGTAGTCGCTGTGGTCGGACACAACTCCATCTTGGTCGCTGTCGGAGAATTCCACGTGAGGTCTCGGCTGCTCGTCACTGGTGACTTCGATATGGATCGGCACCAGGGCTTTGGACTTGTAGCTTCGCTGGATGTGAGAAGGGTGCCTGCCCTGATTTTCTTCCTCCAGCAACGACTCAATGGAAAATCTCCTCTTGGGACACAAACCATTCTGCTGTGCTTCTAGGGTTAAAGGAGATAGCATTTCATCTCCTAGATTTGGCATGGATTTTGACTTCTGAATCAGCTTTTCGAATTCAGAAATGCGGGTGGGCACCATGTCCCTGGGCACCTCCTCGGTGGAGGACTGGCTCCACCCGTGCAGCAGGCCCCTGTGCTGCTGCTCCTGTTCGTACTGCAGGATTCTCGACTTCACAGAGCAGATCACCTCTGAATTCATCAGGTCCTTGCGGTTGATGCGGTGCATTTTCTTGTACATTTTCAGGAACCCTGGGGCGTCGTGGGCGGACCTGTGTCTGAGTCTCGATCTGCCGTTACTGCGAGTCTCCTGCATGTAGGGGGAAGCCCAGGTGATGGAGCCGCTCTCCTTGGAGTCCTCTTCACACAGCAGGGAGCCCATACTCTCCGACTTGGTTTTCTGGTCGGGGAAGCTTTCGCAGTCGTCGTTTAGGAGATCATCGCAGCTACGGGATTTGAGTTTGGGGGACACCGTTTCTTCAGTGCTGCTCCAGATCTCTGCATTTTGCCGGGCCATCTGCCAGCCATTCTTGAAAGTAATGGCCCTTTGGGAGTCCCGCGGGACGTCCAAGTGCTGTCTATAAGGGCTACAGTACTCTAACTCACTGCAGGGGTTGCCGTTGAGCCCTGCGTAACTGCAAAGGGATGGACACAGTTTGCTATCATCCCCACCTTTGAATCCAGAGCAGCGTGGTGGAAGAGAGACATTCGGAGAAGTTAAAAGGTTCACAAAGAGAGGAGAGCAGGTCAGTAGGCATCAGCACAGTAAAGAGAAAGCAGTTAGTGTGGCTTCGTCTAGACACTGATTGTTAACTTTGAGAGAAAAAGGTCTAATTCTAAGGCAAAGTTATTTTTTTCAATGACTGTAGTTTTGCTGATAACACAGTCAATAAAACCAGTCCAACAAATAATTGGTAGAGCTAATTTACCTCTTTCAATCGCACAGTTCACTCATCTTTCTGCCAATACCAATATGCTTATGTACCAGAAACATAATAGTACCTCAAAGTTAATAGCATGACTTGGTAGTAGTCTCACAATGGATTAAATAACAATCAATGGCAAAACTGTTACAGATTTTTATCAACTTAACAGGGTCAGGATTTGTGTCTCATTTGATTTATAGTAATAGGTTAAGAGTAACTTAAAATTTACATTTAATTAATACTCCCAAAACTATATCAAATAATTTTTTATAGGTACTGCATAGAAAAAGCTGTAAGACAAAATCCTTTCCAAAGTTGCAAAGTAAAAATGCTATGAACTATTGCTGCTAGTATTTTTCAAAAAAAAAAAAAAAGTAACAAGTGCCTCTTTAAACAGATTAGTTCACCTCTTAGATGACTGTCTTTACCCTCTCCTAGGGGTAACTGGATATACTGCAAACCTCTCAAAGGAGCTCAACGTATTCCGCTTTTCTCCTAGGAGGGTTTTTAAAAAATCATTTGAAATTTGATAATAGCTAAACTTGACCTCAAATTTGAAATATCCATTGAAAATGTCTTATTTTGCCTTGCTGAGTTAACTACTCAATTACATGTCTTGGGACATTTTTTTCTTAGTAATAAAACCTCATGGAGGAAAATCTCTATTGGAAGCTGATGCCTTACAGTCACCCCCAGATTCTTTAAAAGCTGACAGGCACGTTGGCAGATATGGAGTGTTGGGGAAACAGGCATGTTGGCAGATACGGAGTGTTGGGGAAAGGAAGTTGATTTACACTCCCTAAGGTGAAACAAATAGAATCCTAACTCTTGAGAGTATCCAAGAATAGTGTGGCATTGCATGACCTCCTTACTGCTTTATGGTATTTGTTTGCATAAATGCGTAGACTCTGATAAAGGCCTCTCTGTTAATGGGAGGAAAGGAATAATGGATGGGACTCACTCCTTCTGCACCAATCAGTCAATATTCATAGTTTCTCTAGTCCAGAAGAGGGTTAGGCCTCTCGCCTCCCCTGAGTCCAAGCATCTCAACCAGTTTGTCCTTTGCACTCAAATCAGATAGCACCGGGCAACACGTTTAGTGCCTGCTTGTGATCCATGGAGCGGAACCTGTCCTATTTCACTGGAACTTCTGTTAGAGCTCATTTTCTTCCCAGATTTGTAAATTATTTTCTCTTCTGTTTCAGCCCCGATAGACCACTGAGGACCACGGGGTCCCGTAGCTGATGCAGGTCTGGGTCCCTGTGGGTGGTGGTCGAGCCTCACTCTCCAGCTTGGAAATAGCCCTGGGCCAGTGGTGCTAATGCACTAACTGGTCTTCCAGAGACCTGAAGGAGTGACTTGCCCCCTCCCACGCGTTAGCTCAGAGGAGCCAGGTCATCTGGAAAATGGCTTTCTGACTTCTAAAGTTTATAATTATGGCTTGGAGACAGTTCTCACTATGGACTGTTGTGAATTGAGCCCTGTGTTACATACATGGGAGAATGTGGACACCCTGCTTTCTATCTTCTGTTGCCGTTTGTAATCTCTAAACTACCTAGTTCACTAATTTGCTAGTTGTGGTAACGTTAGAATAAACATTGCAAAATGTTGATTATATGTAAATGCTTATAACTGTCATCTTCTAAGAGCTTGACAACAAATTACTGAATATTTTGAATTTCTTAATAAAACATTATCTTTTTTAAGGGAAAGGCCTTGACAGGTGCTAGTCACAGTGTCACAGTCCTTTATGCAACCCAAGTGCCTTACCAGCTTGAGTCTGTCTGGGTAGGAAGAAGGCTCCTGTTCTGAAATTACACCGTATTCAGACCCTGTAGGTAAAACCTAGCACACATCCCTATCACCGGCCTGGCTCTCACTAGGTCCTCTAGGCTAAAACCAAAACCAGTCCACTGTTTGCATGTGCATTATTATTGCTCACCTTTTGCTCTCGATGGGGAAGAAGGAGAGGAGCTAATGAAAGACTTTGTAAGGGTGGTGCTTGATCCTGGGAGGTCTCCCCGACCTGGACTAGTCCTGGCTGCACTTTGCTCCCCCAACCCCCTTGGGGGCCCCACGGCAGGCTCGCTCTTCCTCCGTTTCCTGAAGTCACTGGCCATGCTTGCAGAGCTGAAAGAAGGAATCAGCATCAGTTTTATTGGTAGAATCCATTTTTGAGCACAGTTTTAGGCTGACAGCAGAACTGATAGGGAGTACAGAGTTTATTTATGCCCACTCCCTTTCCTCTTGCACATGGGTTGCCCTCTACTGCCATCTCCTATGGGTGTGTACATTTGTTACAGTGCAGGAACCTACCTTGACACAGCATCAGCCAAAGTCCACGGAATACATTAGGGTTCGTGCTTTGTGTTATACATTCTACGGGTTTTGGAAAACATGTGGTGACCTGTGCCATCGCTACTAAAGTATCCTACAGAACCGTTTTACTGCCTTAAAAATTCTCTGTGCTCCGCTTATTCATCTCTCCCGCGCCTCTACTGAAAATCACTGTCTCCATAGTTTTGCCTTTTCCAGAATGTCACAGTTGGAATCATGTAGAATGTAGCTTTTTTAGATTGGCTTCTTTCACTTAACGTACACTTGAAGTGTATACTAATATGCACTTTATATTCATTTAATATAAAGTCCCTTCATGTCTTTTTGTTGCTTGGATGGCTCATTTAAAAAAATAACTGAATAATATTCCACCATCTGAATGTACCACGCGTTGCTTCTCCATAGCAGCACTTATGCACAAAGGTGCTATAAACGTCACGTGCAGAAGTCTGTGTGGGCTTAACTCTATATTCACCTTTTCATGACCAAAGTCTCCTAGAATGAACATGTTGCGATGACAATGCCGTGTTGTGATTTGTATCATACATCTTTTCTCTTTAAATGAAAGTTCCAGCAACATGAGTGTATTGGAGGAGGTTTGCCAAAATGGAGGAAACAGCTTGAAAAATGTTACATGCTCGTGTTACAAATTTCTCTTACATCAGGATTTGCCTGCAACTGTTCTTAATAATCTTAGCTTTGGAATATCTTATGCTGGAAGGCCAGCAATTTCTATTTAACCCAGCAAATAAACAATTAAAGGCTCCCTTTGCCCAATTTTATTTAGGATATAGGCAGTCTATATTCGCAGGGAGCTTTGCAGTTGGGTATAGTATCATTTAAGACAGACAACAGTGAAAGAAGAGACACAGCGTACTGTGTATCACACCACTGGATAACACTATGTTAGCAACAGAAACACCAGCTCCTATGGAGTGCAGTGCTGTGCTTTAGGTACGATGGCGTCTTACTTAGGTTTCACAGGAAACGCATGAGGTAGGCATTGTTATCACAGTTTTACAAGTGTGTAAGCCAAACCCATGTCTCTAGGAGGTACACAAGTGAGGCAGACCTCAGAATTTACGTAGTCTTCTAAAGACAATGTCCCATGTCCTAGATCCGTTTTTGCTGTGACTATCCTGTCAAGTGAAGGTGTGTGTCTTTTATAGCAATGGTTAGGTCAGATTAAAACCCCAAAATTCAAACATTTGAGGTGTATATATAGATGCAAAAAATAGAAATGGAGGGGTTGTAGGAGCTCCTTCCTACGTGATATTAATGTAGTCGGATGGCACTCATGAACCCAATTTATGAAGGACTTAATTCATCTTCTACTTATGTTGATGGAAATCTATGGAAAGACAAATTCTTGTTACAGAATTATTTGGTGATGATGATCCAATATGGCTGGGAGTTTTTATTATTCAGTATTGCTGTTGAATTATATCTGGATGCTTGCCATCCTTTATAAGTTAAGTGTGATAGTTAAAGCTTACTAACAGAGTTTACCTTGGCTGGACTTGAGGGCAATTAGACCTAGTGGTTACAAGCTGTCACTGGAGCCCAAACGTGAGTTCTTCAGAGGTAAAGTACTGATAACAGTACTGAGCTCACAGTGTTGTCTTAGGATTGAAAATGATTATGTACTTAGAATGCCTGATATGTGGTAAACCCTCATTTATTGGTAGTAAAAGTATTTATGATTTGTATGATCAGAATATAATGAACAAGTATTTGTGTAATGATTTTTGATTTCTAAATTTTTAATTTCTAACAATTTTATATATTACCATGAGTATCACAACATCATTGAAGTTTAGTTATTTTTAATCCCCATAGAGAGGAAAGAAAACTGGGTATAGTTGGAGACAAGGAAAGAAAGAGTTTTTCAATCCAGAATTATGCCACTTAATTTTTATAAATTAGTGGAAGTGGTGCAGAAGCAAATATATTTTCATCAGACATGGTAGTTAAAACTGTGTGATAGATGATCTCATCAGTACTTCACTGACTAGCATTTCTATAAAGGAAACCACTGTTGTTGAATATTCTGGTCGTGTGATGTAATGCGATCCTTACCTACTGGGTCTTTCCAGGCTTCTGTCATTAGGAGACTGATACACGGAGGCCTGTTAAGATAGAATAACAGTTTCATGAAAATTTTCACCATGGCAAAATTTCATTTGCCAACATTGAAAACAGCTTTCATAAAAACAATGTCATAAAGTCAAAATTCAAAATACCATGTATGATGCTAACAAAATGCCTTTCCACAGAGAAATCATACCACCTGATTTGGACTGTTTTTCTTTTCTACTTTCTCTTCTGATATACAGTAATACATCTTTTGGGGTAGCACACATTATCCACAACCCTAGCATTCATTGTATGGGAAGAAGCAGAAAAATAAACAACATTTTCTCAAGAATATGGAATAAAGTGCTAAATTATTCTATAACATTAACTCCAGAACCCTTCCTATTGAGTTAAAGAGGTTTCATATAAAAAAAGAATGTTTCTATTTTTAAAAAATTTCTAGCATTATTGAACCCTTATAAAACATTAATTTTCTCTATAATTTCAATGTTTTAGTGTCAGGTGTCATCTTCAAAATAGAAGAACTTGGGGTTTCTTTCACCTGTCAACATAGACATGACATTTTAATAAAGCCCATGAATTTTGAAATTAAACTCAACTATCTGGTACTTTAATCAAGTACAGCTGATACCTTACAGATGAGGAGGTCAGGCTTAGATTAAATGATCTAGTGAATCAAAATACGTCTTTTTTTTTTTTCTTCAAAAAATGGATTTTAACCATTTTCCTTCATTCTGTATAGTATACAAAATTGATACTAAGTAAAAATAACATAAGAATTTTTCAGGGGTGGTGCTGTGGCGTAGCGGGTAAAGCCACTGCCTGCAGTGCCAGCATTCCATATGGGCACTGGTTCAAGTCCCTACTACTCCACTTCTGATCCAGCTCTCTGCTGTGGCCTGGGAAAGCAGCAGAAGATGGCCTTGGGTCCTTGAACCTGCATGGGAGACCTGGAAGAAGTTCCTGGCTCCTGGCTTCAAGTCAGCGCAGCTCTGGCTGTTGCAGCCAGTTGGAGAGTGAACCAGCGGATGGAAGACCTCTTTCTCTCTCTCTCTCTGCCTCTGCCTCTCCTTCTCTCTCTGTGTAACTTTGGCTTTTAAATAAATAAATAAATCTTTTAAGAAAAAAGAATTTTTCACTTTCCATGACCAACTATTGGTATAATTTTTGAAATATCTATAAACAAGAGAAGACCAGTATTGAGTTCCTGAGTAGTTAAGGTGACACTGCAAGATGAAAGTAGTTCTGATGTAATGCTTTGAATGCATAGGGAAATGTGTATATAGCTTAGGCTTTGCTTATATTTTATAATGAGTTCCTCATCACAAACTTTGGTTTGATGAAGAGCTGAAATTCTAATTTGAAAATGTTCATCTATGTGAAAGTTTAAAAATGTCAGCAAGAAAGGCAAGATTTGACAGCTTTTATATTCAGCTATTTTCACAGAAATGTTTTAGCAGAGTATTAAAAACTTAATGGATTTAACCTCACTTTACAAACTCTGTTCTTTTTTTTTTTTTTGGTTAATTGGTAAATTAGTACTAATTAAAATATTAGTATATAATTTTTAAATTCTTTAAGTAGATTAGTCTGACAAGCCCCTGCTATACATAACTGTAAAACTGTTTCTATTAACAGACATCTTAACTTGATTCTATGTTACTTAATGAAAATGGAATTTTGCCCAGAAAGAAACAAAAGCATCTTTCTGTACAACAAAACTCCTCCTCATTTTCAAAAGAAAAAGTGTATCCTAATATTTTAGCTCCTAAAAAATCATATTCCTAGGTTTCCAACAAATACAGAACTAGAGAAAAAATTTTGTCTGTATTAGTCTGATAAATGCACATAATTATTTCAATTTGCTGCATTCTGGTGGAGAAATATATGCTAAATATGAAAAAATCAAACAGGTAGGAAAGATGAAAATGATCATTGCATGATAATTTAGAAACATTAATTCTACTTAATTGTAAAAGAGCAACACCAAAGAGCTCAGGGTAATGCCACCCAATCAGATCACGGCTTCCACAGGACACGCAAACTCAACTGATGACCAAAACTGTCAAATTCAGGGCACTCTTGGAACAGCCTCAGAGAAACCAGAAATTTTGAGCTGCTGGCTTATCAGCAGCCTAAACAATAGTGTAGTAAGAATGAAAACCTAGCGTCAGAACTGATAAATTACTCATGCTTCAGAGTTGGGCAAAGAAACCATGATTATTCTTGCTTGTGCTGGTTTCTACATCACATACAATGAAACCAGTTTTGATTTTATGTATACTCAGAGACAGTTTGGTATTAAATTATAAATTAACAGCAAAAAGTCTATATTGAAGACCAAGAGGGAAACTTGTACAATAATTAGAGGAATGGTATATATCCTGAAATGGAAATTATTTCTAGAAAACAAGTAATACATTTTACCTATCACAAAGTGCAGACAAAAATAATTTTCTGTTAGGTCACCATGTGATTAAACTTTGCTTTAAAACCATCATCTTGGGGCCAGCACTGTGGCATAGAAGGCTAAGCCTCCACCTGCAGTGCTAGCATCCAATATGGGCGCCAGTTTGAGTCCCGGCTGCTCCACTTCTGTTCCAACTCCCTGCTAATGTGCCTAGAAAAGCAGCGGAAAATGGCCCAAGTGCTTGGGCCCCTGAATCCACATGGGAGACACCCAGAAGAAGCTCCTGGCTCCTGGCTCCTGCAGGGGATGGGCCAGGCTGTTGCGGCCATTTTGGGGAGTGAACAAGCGGATGGAAGATCCCTCTCTCTCTCTCTCTCTCCTCCTCTCTCTGTATCTCTGCCTTTCAAATAAATATATAAATCTTTTTTATAAAAAAACCAAACCCTCATCTGTTCTTCATTTATGTCTGTTTCTCAGATATATATATATATATATACACACACACACATTTATATACATGTATATGTTGTACACAGTATATACTGGGTACTTAATACATGGTAACTAAATTAATGTTTAATCAAATTTTTTACCAGAAATGTTTACAAAAGGTTATTAAAAACAGAATACAAATACCTTATGAAAGCCTGTTTTCTCTGAAAAACCATGATGTTAAGTTAATAACATAGTCAATGTGCTATTAGAATCATACAAGATCCCCCCTCAATATCAAAGAGATAACAGAAAATAGTTTAACTACTAGCAAAGTGCTTTCTAATGAGATTTTCTTTTGTTACTACCATAACATTATGGAACACATAGAATTAACTTTCTACACTGGGGCTAGCATTGTGGCACAGTGGCTTAGGCCACCTCTTGCAATGCCGGCATCTCCTATGGGTTCAAGTGCAAGTCAAGGCTGCTCCATTTCCAATCCAGCTCCCTGCTGGTACACCTGGGAAAGCAGCTGAGGATGGTCCAAGTGCTTGGGCCCTTGCATCTGTGTGGGAGACCGGAAGAAGCCCCTGGTTCCTGGCCCAGCTGTGGCTGTTGCGGCCATTGGGGGAGTAGACCACAGAATGGAGGATCTCTCTCTGTCTCTCCTTTTCTCCCTCTGTGTAGCTCTTTCAAATAAATAAAATTAAATCTAAAAAAAAGTTTCCACATTTTTATAATGAAGAATTATTGTGTAATATTAATTATCAACACTCATTTCACAGAAATTCAATAGTCAACAACAAATAGTATTAGGTAAATAATTTCTTTGAAAAAAATCGATTATTTATTTATAATTTCTTAAAAATATGAACTCTAAGTATATCTTTTTTTGACAGGCAGAGTTAGACAGTGAGAGAGAGAGAGAGAGAGAAAGGTCTTCCTTCCGTTGGTTCACCCCCCAAATGGCTGCTATGGCAGGCGCGCTGCGCTAATCCAAAGCCAGGAGCCAGGAACCAGGTGCTTCTTACTGGTCTCCCATGCGGATGCAAGGCCCAAGCACTTGGGCCATCCTCCACTGCCTTCCTGGGCCACAGCAGAGAGCTGGACTGGAAGAGGAGCAACTGGGACAGAACTCGGCGCCCCAACTAGGACTAGAATCTGGGGTGCTGGTGCCGCAGGTGGAAGATTAGCCAAGTGAGCTGTGGTGCCGGCCTAAGTATATCCCTCTGAACTACTAAAAAGTGTGACACAATGGAAATAGCAACTGAAATAAAGGTTGAGAGACCTGTTTAATTTTTAAATTTTGCCACCATCTTAACATGTGATATTTAACATATTTTGTAAAATTGTTATCCTTTACTTATCATAATTGATAAGTTACTGAGTTAGATATGGTACTCTCTAAATATGTTTCAGTTCTCAGTGAGTCAACTACCTTAAAAACACCCTAGAAATATCTGACCAAAATTAAATTTTGGTTAAACTGAATTTTTGATTAAACTGAATTTCAAAATACATTCTTGGGTTGTTCATATGTTAAATAATATCCTTTTTTCAGAGACAGAGGTAACATGACATAAAGAATAGAACTGTTTATTTTATTTGACTTCAGATTGTTTGCCTGGCTGTAAAGTATAAGCATTCAGAAATGGCTGAATTCAGTAACCCACAGTGTTCTTGGCTACTCTATTGTAGTTTTAATTAAATATATAAATCTGTAATTATTTTAACCATCTCTCTGTATTAACACACACTCACAGTGGAAATAATTTGAAATTGCAAGCTTGGCTACTTCTTCACAGGCTCTATGCTTGCAACTCCAGAGGTCACCACCATGTGTCAGTAGTACCTTCTTCAGCCAAAGTTTTCTACTGGTTTTGTTTTCTAGTAGTGCATATTTAATTAAGATTTATTGTTACTGTACTCACATAAGACCACATAGAAACTACTATGAAAAAACCAGCTTATTCACTTTGTTCCCATCCTAGCTTCCAAAAGTTCCTACAAATAAGCTTTTATGTAGCCGATGGTTACCAAAACAGTGCCATTTTTTTCGTGTGACTTCTAATGAATCCTTTATCTGCTCTCCAAAATAATTCTGTTTTTGAGATTATTTTTGATCATTTATGCCCTTTTCCCTACTCTTTTTGCTTAATTAAAATAATGATTTACATGACCTGGCATTAATTTTTCACCTAGTTGATTGTCATAAGAGCTCTTTACTGGAGATTGTAAATGCATTTCATCTTATAAAAGCTAGTAACGACCTGTTGTAGTGTTCCACTGGATTACAGAGTCAGGAAGGATTAGTGGTGTCTGTCCAGGGTGCTGGAAGTTGTGACACATATATTTACCAGCCCTATTCTTCACTGATGATAATATCTGCAAGTCATAAGCATTTAAGAAAATGAAAAAATAAATAAAGTTTAGGAGTATCAGGCACCTAAACTCTCAGTCTGCACCTTTAAACATGATTATAAAATGGCCTTCTAACAGGATTTTACATAGTCTAAGAAAAATAGGTGGTTGGGTTGGGTGCTGTTGCACAGCAGGTTAGGCCAGCATTCCACGTCAGAGGGCTGGTTCAAGTCCCTGCTACTCTGTGTCTGATCCAGCCTTCTGCTATGCACATTGAGGCTTCAGATAATGGCTCAGATACTTGCGTCCCAGCCACCCAGGTGGGAGACCCAAATGGAGTTTCTGGCTCCTGGCTTAACCCTGCTCCAGTCCTGGCTGTTGTGGCCATTTGGCGAGTGAAACAGTGTATAGAAGATCTGTCACTCAGTCTTCCAAATAACTACATTCATCTTTAAGAAATAATCTAAAATACCCAGGTGGCTAAAAGATGTATTAAAACTAATACTCTTGGCTTGGGGTTTTCACCTTGCAGAATACCAGGACTGCAGATAAACAGCTGAACAGAAAGGTATAGTTGCAATGGTTTGTCATCTGGAAGTCAAACACAGCCAACAAAACCGGGATAATGAATGTCTAGGCAATGATACTTGATACAACACAATGACGCAAAGACAGATTTTTGAAAGTAGCTTGGACACTCTAGTGAACTGTAAAACATGGATATTCAGATTCACAGGAACAGCCTCTAAGGGCGAAATCTGAAAAACATAGAATAATTTGCTTTTACCTCATTGGAAACACCAGAAGACTGATCTTGAACATAGTCCAGAGCCTTTTTAGGAGGCTGCACCACATAAGCAGAAGTGTAGAGATGGAATGGAGGAGAATCAATGCAGCAAGGAATGGACATGTGGAAAAGGTGACAACAGTTAGAAATCAAGTGCCGACAGCATCGGGTACACATAAAGAGTGACATGAATGGAGCACGACGGGGCAGCCTGGGGAAAGAGTGCACTGCTTGTAAATATTCTCACACACTGGGCACCACGGCTGGTGTGCAATTAGTATATTTGTGAATTCACTTCGTCACACCCAAATTAGCACTTCCAGTCTCTGGCCACAGAGCAATGCAAGGTCTATTAAAGAAACATTAAAGCAGTAAGTGGCTGGCATGCTGGTGAGCTTCTACGTGGGGCTGAAGGTGGTTATAGGAAATGCTGATAATTTAAGCTCAGCACAGAAATTGCAAGGGTCCTTATAAACTTTCTGACGAGCAACACAGAAAAGAAAGCTTGAGAATGGTTTTTCTTGGAAATAAAATATATTCATGTTAATATTAGGAAGCAAATTAGAAAAAAAGAGAGAAAATATTCCATTTGCTAGGAACTAGAAATTCTAGGAAAAATTCTTTGGTTTATATTTGTTTACAATCCCTTTTGATTCAGTGCTATAATTATAGTGATCTATCCAAATCTTCTATCTTTTTGAATGGACAAAAGGGACGACCAGAACCACTCATATACAACATATGATCAGGCAACAAGTACATCTGTACACAATACTGTGAAAGAAAGCTTGTATTCTCTGACTTCGTGCACAGTGTAGTTGGTGTATTATCTAAGAGTTTAAAATTCATAAGACACGTGTAACTGACACACATTAAATGTATGCTGTAGGCACGCACAGTTCCTAAATAAAGCTCAGCTTGATGAAGCAGTTGTCATTTAAAGCTCCAGTTGACTCTTTATCCCAAACAGACAGATGCCCGCAGGGCCAGCCACAGGGCCAGCTCGCCTGGTGGGGGTGTGGAGATGGCAGACGGGGCTGTGGCGTCCACTAGCAAACCTAGAAACGAAGGTTGCACGATTTATTCGTGGTAAATGAGGTATTTGACAGTGGAAATATTCTGGCAGAGAATTATCATGAGTGCTGCTCAGAATTTTATTTTATTTTATTTTTTAACAGGTCGAGGCTTAATTTCTGACTCTGCCATTGACCTATCTGGGCAGATTCCTTAAGGCTTCTAGTGTCCATTTTCTTCTATTGTTGAGCATGAGGAGACAATGAGTCTAGAACAATGAGTGCAGAAACAATGAGTACATCTAGGGGCTAGATGACTCCTTAGCGACTGGGAGCTAAGGCAATAGTAACTCTTGACTTAAGGTGCCTGTCTGTTCGAATTAGATCAAAATGGACTGTAAACAAATACAAATCTATAAGGTTGGAATCATTGTCTGAATATTCTAGGAAAGAAACTACCTCCATATGTTAAGTTTGCAATCAATCAGATATTAACTAAGACGAACATGATTTGGAAAAACCAAATAGGAAGTGTCTGAGCAGGGTTAATCATCTGGTAGGAAGTGCGCACGGGCTAAGCCTCTCAGACACAAGCCAGCCTTTGTTCTCCACAAGGTACCTGTCTCGTCTAACGACGGTATGTTGAATCAATCAAACAACATTCTCCTAAGGTTCTTACATGAACAGTCTAGCCTCACTTACCGGGCGTCCAAACTCCAGCTCTGAAAAGAATTTATACCAGGGCTCATTTTCTAAATCTATGTCATCTGGAGTTATGCCATCAGTCTAGAGCAGATGTGAAGGAAAAGGGAAGGAAAAGGCACACTGAGCCACGTGAGGGAACCGCCGCGTGGTCTGACAAACACGCGCGCACTCACACGCCAACACGCACCCACTCGAGTCCGGCAAACCTCAGCGGGAGAGCGGACTCAGGACAGGGAGGAGCGCCACCTAGGCCCCTGGGGTCTGTCCTGTCCCCCTTCCTAAGGTTCAGCTTGGCACCTTAGCTATGGAAAGCCCTCTGGGGCCAAGAGACAGACCAGGAGAGCAACGCCAGAGAATTGGGATGGGCCCAGCTCTGGCACAACCTGGCTCTTCCCTGCGCAAGCGAGCAGTTTGCGGACCACCACCTGCGTGCCCATGGCGGGCTGGAGCAGGAGACGCTGGGGCAGATTCGCAGGGCAGGGGAGCTGAGCGATGGGTGCTGGGAGCTGCGGAGAGGGTCCCCCGGCACTGAGAATCTGGGGTCTGGGTGACAAAAGGCGCCCCCCGGCGGAGCTGGGGAGTAGCCAGCTTCCGCCCACGCCCTCTTGGCCTTAGGAGCACAGGGGCTACCCCTGAACTTCCCGACGGGAATGAGAACAAAGAAGGCAGGAGCTCACCCGGGTGGGAGAGAGCGCCGGGGCCCACGAGCTGGGCGTGGGGAGGCCACTGGTGGGCGGCGGGGAGGGGCTACGGGGCACCGCTCCGAGTGGTGAGCTAGAGCCAGGCTTCCGGCCAGGTTCCTCGGGAACAAGTGTCGGAGTTGTTGGGAGAGGGGGCTGGAAGAGAGAGGGGTGGGGGAGAAACTGATGCATTAGCGGCAGGTTTCTGACCGAGCCTCTGGCAGGTGAGGTGGGAGCAGCCGTGAGAAACCTCTGGACCCCACCGTCTGGACTCCTGCAGAGATCTGAGGCTCAGGGGCCTCCGGGAAGGTGAAGAAGGGTGACATCTTAGGAGGGGCCCCCAGGTTCATTTTCTGCCCACCTACTTGAGCTAGAGACAGAGATCTGGGTGGGCTGAGGGTTTTCCTAGTAATACTGTGGGTGGCAGGGGACAGGGGAGGAGTGTGGGATAAAATCCCACCATGGTTTCTGTGACATGGTAATTTAGAGAAAAAGCCAATCTTTATGATTGATTTACTCCCCTCCAGTGGTTTCTGAATGCTGCATTTGAGACGGAACAACTAGGAATGTTCAGAAAAACTTTGAGAAAATACATACAATTACTTCATCCTTTAATAAAACAGACACAGCAATATACTAAATATTTCTGAATAACACCTATCTGACTACATCGATTCAGGCTGTTGACTTTATGTAAAAACTGGATGCTAAAGGCACAGTAAGTGACTTGTTACTTCTTTGATAATTATCACACAACACTAATTCAATGTAGTACAACTGAACAGAACAGCATTCTAAATCAGAAAAAAAGTTCTAAGAAAAGTTATTTGGTTCCTTAGAAGCCACTCACCCTGGCCAAGAGAGGAGCTGAGACTCTGGACATTTTGTAGGAGGGCTATTAAGTGCACGCTGCCTCAAAGCAATCAATATTATTTCCCCACAAGTCTTGAAGGAACTCAAGTGCATCTACTGAGTAGAATCATCTCAGTTCTGAAGGGAATACTCTACAACCCTTGTCATCTTGGGAACTTGACACAGTTGATATGCCAACAGAGGGCACTATTTCAACATGGGCATGGTATAGGGTTTTACTGACTGGGTACATTTACAACAGTTTTGTTAGTGATGCACAGTCTACGTTTAATAATAAATTATACCAAACCTGTCTTAGTAATGTGGTTTTGTTTCTACATTTTTAAATAAAATATTATAATAGCAACTACAGTGATAGGAAAGTTTGAGGCATCATAACAAAATAGTGCAAGGGCCTAAGTTATCCAAAATGCATGGTGATTGTAATCATAAAGATTGTAGAAAACTTGGAAGGTGCTTACGATGAAATGCTAAGTGACAGAACCAGAATATAATCATGTACTTACACAGTAGTTACAGTGGTATTTCAAAGCTTCTATCTGGATGAACACAGTGAACAAATGTATATATACACAAAAGACTAGAAAGGTATTCTGGTGCTGTGACTCCTTTTCCTCTTTAAGTGTTATTTTGCTTTATTGTTATAATGTTATTTTTTGCAATAAGCAAAATTCAGAGAAAACATCCTTCAATTAGGTATGGGAAAATGTTGCAGAGATCTTGACCTAGTTAGTTTACATTTCAGAGCAGCAGTGAAATTGGTAGAGAGAAAATATGCTAAGTAACTAATTTGCCATTTTCTAATTTAAAAATTTCATTCAATAGTGGAAAAATTTGATTCAATAGTGGAAAAATATTGAGTTTCTGGTAGTACAAAAATACTATTTTTTATCTAATTGTTATTTAGCTCATTATGGATGTAGCATAATATTTCATGAATGGTTTTGTTGGAGCTTGTTTTTAGGGCAACTGACATTACAGAGAACGTTTTAGTATTTTTTCTCATGTTTATAGAGGACATTGTCTCTTCCACCAGAAACTAACCTGTGGCTTTTTCAAACTTCATAGTGTCTAATGGTATACACTTAATGATAGTATTAAGTCTTGATTTGTAAACTCTGCTTTCAAGTGCAGCATTTTGTTTTCCTAAGGGGAGATAGAAACTGCTAGATAGAAACTGCTCAAAAACCATGAACAGCAGAGGACAGTAAATTTACCAAATTAGTATCTGTATTAGTATTATAACTTTGATTTCTACCTTAAGAAAATATAAAACAAATGGATACTAAGTTCTGATTTATAGAAATATATTTTTGTGACACAGCACAGACAAAAGAGAAAATTGTCTGTCACCCTGCATCATACATTAGGTTAGCAATTTTCCATTAATTATGAATTTGTTGATTAAAAATTCAATTTACAGTTAAAACCAGCAACTACTAGAACCCATGTCAATAGAAATTAGCAGAGAAAACGCCCCAAATAATGATAACTGCTCACTATCTCTAACTTCGGGTTGTGATGAAAGGTACACGCTTGAATTGTTAAAGAAAGTATAAGTGACAGAACTAGAATTCTCTCTTTGCTGTGGTTGACTCCCTTTAGTCAGGCAACAATTAAATGCATTATATAGCAATCTGGAGCCACTGCTAAGGTACACAGAAGCCTCAGAATAGTCAGTGATGGTCAGCCAACAGATAGACCAGCGCACTGATAATCTCACCAACTCAACAATCGCCACGTGTAACACGGAAATTCTTAGAGTTCAGCACGAATACAAACACTTAGAACTCATTTAGGAAACATGATTACGCTTTTCTTAAATTGCTCAAAAAAGACAAAAGAGCAGAGATACTGATACACATCTCTGATCATGGTTTCTTGGTTTGTTTCTTTTCATTTTAAAAACTCTGCAAACTTCTACTTAAAACTGATGTAGAAGATCAGTGCAAGAGGGAGTGCTTAAGAAAAATAGCTAAATTATACATGATCTTTATTTAAAAACTACCGGGGTGAACAATTTTTAAAGTATATTTTTCATAGTTTAAAACTATTTAGTTGCTTTTTTGGTTATAGAAGTCTCACTGTTCTCAGTATTCTCACTGATGCATATGTTTTCTATTTGTTGTTCCAAACAAAAGAAGTGTCAGTGTATTTTGTTCCTGAAAGTGTATGCTCATTAGATTTTAAGCTTCCATGCTTTATATGTATTGTGGTTTCACAATCAATGCTATATACATTGCTAGTTGGGGTAATTCTTTATGGTTCAGGTCATTAGATGAAACTCCCCCAAATTTTATAGCTTTACCTTTCAGTAACAATCGTTATTGACTAAGAAGCTTATGTTCATTGATTGTTAGATTGCATTTCAATTCTGTGTGGTAATCAATGCTATCTTCTTCTGTTTTTATTATTATGTGTGTGTTTGGTTAAAGAATGGTGAAATATTCATATTATTTATTTTATCAAGCACAGAAAAGAACTCAACAAATGCCCTGTTCATCTTTTTCCGAATTTTAACATGGCTCACCTACAAAGCCTATCCAATCTAGAGGAGATGTAAAGTTTTTATATCTACAGAGTTTGTACGGTTATCTCTTAGAATAAATTAATCGTGGAAATATGGTTCTGATTTATGGCTCAAGTCAGCTAAAGATAAGATCCTGGTGACTGCAAAGTGCTTTTCTAGATCCAACACTAGGCTCGTTTAGTCAACATTTCTAAATTTATAGTCAAATGAATATTTATGAGCTTCAAACAAGTGCATTGACTTTTGCTCTCCCATGAAAGAACATGAATGCACTTGCCATTGATTCCTAAGGAGAAAAGAGAATCTTTTTGTGAGACTCTGGGGATCATGTTTTGTTCAAATAATACTGCCCCCTCTGCCTCTTTTGCACCCCAGGGAATGAGGGAATCGGGGAACCTGTGAGCCGTGGAATGTCTCATGCATGCTTCCACAGAGCATGGGCTTTTGTCACTAGAAACATACAGACATCATAGATAAGCAATAGAACAAGGACTCAGTCTCTCTCCAACCTCACCCACTACTGCAAGGATAGACTCTGTACTCATGTATTCACCTAGGCATCTAGGGATCATTCACTGTACACCTGCCATATGCCAGGCTTTGTGCTAGTTCTGGGGATACAACTGCTGTACCAGACATGACCCCTGCCTTCAAGGAGCTTAAAATCCAGTCAAGGATATAAACAAGTGAATAGGTCATTACAATTCAGTGTAGTAAGAGCTTGAGCCAGAAATAGGGTATGCCTTGAGTACATAATGGGGGGAGCTTTAAACCCAAGGCTGAGCAGTGAGGAACAGGTTCCTGGGTGGGGTAGGACTCTCCTGAGAGCCGAGGAATGAAATGGGATTTCTTTCATGTGAAGGGAGAGGCCGTAGGAAGAGCTTCCCAGGCAGAGAGAACAGCCTGTGCAAAGCCCCAGGCCCAGCAAAGAAGGAACTGGAAGTTCTCTGTGTGGCTACAGCCAAGTGATGCAGGGAGGGCAGGAAAGGAGATGAGGCTGGAGCGGTCAGCTGGGCCAAAGCACAAGGTGTATGTTTTTTTTTTTTCTTTTGATAGAAAATTATGTTAAGTGATTTGTATTTCATTCCAAGGACAGTGGAGATCCAGGTGAAAGTTTTGAGCTGGATGCTTCCTGAAGATTTTCTGAAGATGACCCCAGCTGTGGTAGGGAAAGCAGATCGGCGAATTTGGGAAGTGAATCAGGGGCTGTCACTGTCAACCAGGCACAGGACAAATGTGAGCCAGAAGAGAGAGGTGGCTGTGGCACGTCTCCCAGTGTGTGGGGTTTGAAGCTCACAGGAGGAGATGCGAATCCAAGATGATACTCGGGAAAACTGCGCAGATGGAGGAGTCAGCTAGGAATTCAAAAGAGCAACAGAGACTTCCCTAGCTGTTGGGTATATTTTGCAAAAATTCCAAATGAAAAGAGCACAGGAATGCTCCCAAACCATCTTGCAGTAAAAAGACATGTGGGCGCAGTCATTGTGCCTTGAAACCCTAGTGCCGAGTCTTTGCTCTTATGTCACTTTTGTTGGCCAACCTGCTCCTTGTGCTCTGTAGCCTGTGTGTATAGGAAGTTTTCCTGTGGTTGCAGAAACCTAGCCACACCCAAATCTCTAGCAAAACCCATGACTCCAGCTGTTTCTCCCTCCTTAGAACTAGTTAAATATACTGGTTTTGGGTTGGATCTATGCAAGCCCTAGGTTTCAGGTTAAATAAATCAAGTACACTGATTTATTATAAATTAACCAACAAATAAATTAATTTACACTGCAACTATAGTCAAAGTAGTTGATAATATACTAATAGCTAATTTCGCCACTAGCTGCATATATTTCCCACTTAGCTAATCTGGGTGCAGTTGTACCATTGTGATCATGCTACATAAGGCTACGTCTGGGCTCAACTCCTAGGTCCAATTCCCAGCAGCTATGGAACCAAGGTAGTTAAAATCTGCTTTAGTCTCTTCATCTGTAAAGTGCTTATACTTCACAGGGCTGCTGGAAACATTACACGAGATAAAGCATAAATGATCAACTATAAGAATGGCACACAGTAAGTGCTCAATAAGGATATACACTATTATTACAGCTGTTATTATTGTTGTTTTAAAACTAGGAGCCTTCAAAGCTTTATCCCAAAGACATAAGGAACGTAGGAATTTCAGTCATAAGAAGAGGGCCTTCAAAGCTTTATCCCAAAGACATAAGGAACGTAGGAATTTCAGTCATAAGAAGAGGGCCCATGAATGGACTCTGGAGGGGACAAAGGGAGGGTTCTGTCGGTGTGCCTCTGTTTTAATCATGTAAGGGGTGGTTCACGTTGCACACATCAGATCTAGTCTTGCATATACATTAGCTGATAGACTTGAAGTTCCTCGAGATAGAGACGGTTCTATTCACGATGGTGTCCCTAGCACCTAATACAAAGTCTTGTGTACACTTGATTTTGCTAATGAGTAAATAATAAATATATACTGATGGGAAAGCTTCTGTAATCAATCCTGTTTCCTGACACCACAGTTACAAATGTGCATCAATGTAATTAAGGTGTTCCTTATCTTAAGATTCTTGTAAATTATTAGAACGATTATTAAAGGTTTGCTATTTACATTTGAGTCTGAGGCTTATTATTTTGCTATTGCAGCTTTATGCAGCAGTGGCATTGTGGTTCACTCACTTCTCATCTTGGAAATATTCAAGGACCATGCTCTTCAATCATACAGCCTAGTAAATGGGTTATATGTGTCTGCAAACCAGTGATGTTCCTTTGATTTTTCATTCAGTTTTTCTGTTGAAATCCTTTGAAATGAGTCACTTGAAGCAAAGCAGAGAAGGCTCAGATAAATATATTTGAATTATGTGATTATATGGTTTTTGAATATGCTTCTCACACACAATCACAAATATAGGGTTTCAAAAACCAAATCAAGGACACACACACAAGGTGTGATGGGATAATGGTTTCCTATTGAACTTCAGGCATTATGTAAAACAGGAGAGGAATTCAAAAAGTTTGTGGAAGATTGAATTAAAAGATAAGTTTACTTTGGTGCAAAAATTTTGAAATCCATGCATAGCTTTTTTCATAATATGCATTTTCCATGAACTTTTTGAAGATCCTCCATAGTGTTATCTCTTGGAGACTTTTGAAGGTGCTAACACAGAAAATTCTTTTTCCTGTTTACCAACACCTAAAATTCTCATAAGACAAGGAGGAAAGTAAGTTGCAATTGATATGTTTTCCTAGCTGTAGGTGTAGGGATGCAGAGGAGTGTAGAGTGTTGAAGAGATTCTGAGGGTACTGCACTTGAGGGGAAGGAAAGGTCAGGAAAAGGAGGGCTAAGGAAAAAACTGCTGGTTAACTTGCACTTTGAGGAGGCAACCAGTCTTTCTGAAATTTTTATGTATCTTTTTGTTTGCATATAATTAAAGCAAATGGAAAAATACTGCAAAGTGAACTATTATCTTGATCCATTAGAGTGACAATCAGGAAGCTTGAGGCTTGGTAACCTGAGAGGATTTAATGAGAGTCAATTAAAACAACTTTAATTAAAAGGGCATTTGGAAAAATTTCCCATTATGTGAATGAAATATTAAGAAACCAATATGAAAGTCTAAGAATGGAGCTGTCTGAGTCCATGTGTATTGGAAGGGTGATGAGTAATTTTCTATATTGGCAATCTAGAATAGCAATTAAGTTGCATTTATGAATTTAAAAAAAAATTAAACTCAGGTTCTTATTAGGCACAGTTACAGTTACATGTAATAAATCATATATATATAATATATATTTGGTTAGCAGGGACAATATATTAAAGTGCATCTTTCAATTCTGAGATAGGATGTACAACTCACAGTACAAAATTAACATGATTTTAAAATAATACTAAATCAATAAATTACCTTTGTAACAAAACATTGCTAAATGATATGAAATTCAGGTTTGTTTGGGAACCCTGGAAGCCTACTGAGTTGGCATTCTGTTTAATGACAAGTGCTTACTGGTCTTTCATGTTGCAGAATTGATGACTTCCCAGGTTCATATTCAAAAATACTCCTTGGCTCAGACCGAAATTTTCTTGTGTCCACTTTTCTGTCTGGAGGATCCCAGTCATGCCTAGAAATAAGCAACAAATCACACATTAAAATATTCTGTACACTTATAACAGTTGTGTAAAACCACGCACTATCTGTTTGCAAAGTTAATTTTAGTGTAGAGCTTTTACAAAATCTCTTGGGATAAAATGTTACTCTATGGAGATCATCACATTTATGTTTTTGATTTACATAAATGATCCAAAGAGAACCATTTCTTTTATTTCCTATATCTTCCTCTGTTTTTTTTTTTTTTTTTTTTTTTTTTTTTTTTTAATAATACTATCTTTCCTTTTGGCTCAAAAACCCACAGAAGAGGTTTGTAGCTGTGCAGTGACCTGTTAGTAAAACTTCTAGGTCACTAATGGCAGCTGTGTATGTTTGTGTCTAAAGTAAGTGGCAGGTTGCTCCAGGAAGCTCTGTGAGCTTAACCCCCACTCTGTGACCTGATACCCTTGATCCAAAGTGACAAGGAGTAAAGCACACAGCATGTTTGATCTTATTGGTAGCAAGTGGCATCACTTAGTCTGACATGCATAGGAGCAAGCTGTGTGACTGCCTGTGAGAGCACCTTCTGGTGTTACCTTGGGCAAACCAGTCAGTTATCTGTCTCACTGGAATCAGCTCTGGTATCATTTAAAATGCTCTCAAAGAAGTACTTAGACTGCAAAGCTCTCGAGAAGGACTTCACAAAGTTAGGCGCCTCCAGACGGCTTGGGCTAGAGATGAAAGCTTCCATTGGCTCCAGGATTTTTGAGGAAGGAAAAGTTTCTGACTATAGATTGGGTGATTCTGACTCCATGGAATGGGGTGAAATTCTGATTCTGTGGTATGCTGGAAACAGAAGGGTCCCAAGAGGCAGACGTAGGGACAAGTCCCAGCTTTCTACTGAGGACAGACATTGATGTACCCTTAACATTTCTCTACCTTAGTTTTCCCATCTGTGTAAAACACAGGAAAATTGTGTCCTTTTCCTTGCAGAGATATTTTGGCAAGATACATGAAAGCCATTAGGAATGTTTAGGCAATTAATATATTTCTTTGGGAAGATTAATTCTTGTTGAACAACCAGGACAAATAAAACATTTAAGTCGGAGTTCACCTTGGTTCTATTTTTATGGCCAAGATAGCATTTTGTGTATAGACGATTATTTCCTGATTTTAAGACATCACGCATTCTAAACACAGATTCATCATGAGGAGATTGATAAGAAAACAAGAAGCCCTTCACACACAATCTGTGTCTATTTCCAGGGTATGTTGTACTCTGCATGATCATCATTTACTGTTAATGAGGTGTTGAATATATTTTTTCTGGGATGGGCATAAGGCATGATACAAGATAACCAGTATGAATAAGGAATAATTTTTATGTCCTCTACCTATGACTTGCCAGTATAGGATAGGCTTTGGCTCTCATCAGAGCTGAGTGTGAATCCTAGCTTGGACATATTAGCTACATGAACTGATAAAGTCACTTCAATTTTCTAAAGCACAATTTCCTTCTCTTTAAAATAGAACACATCTCATTGGTTTGTTCTCAGAATCAAATGATCTAACATGCAAAGTGCTTGGATCCCAGTGACCTCTTAATAAAGGTTACTTGTAAGTAGTAGTGTTAATCATAACCCTAAGAAAAATGACCTAATACAAGTGTATTTATACATTTTTATTTTAGTGGCAAACATTTCTCTAAAAATAATTTCAGGGAAGAAATGAAAATTAGTGTCAGCTTGAAAGGTAGTGGAAGTGAGACACAAATAGACATTTTAACTAATGCTTTGTTTATTATTTATGTATAATATTCTCTGCTTTCAGAAAGATATTTTATTAATAGGCCTAACATTTCAAATCTAAGGAAACTGAAGACTATTCATGGTCTCTAACCTCCTATACCAAAGGAAGAACCTGTCTATTTCTATGAGGAAAAACAGAATTAGAAAAGATCAGTTTATTTTGGTACAAACATTTTTTGCAATCCATGCATACTTTCTTCTTACAGACATTTTCCATGAGCTCTTTGAAGACTCCCTGTATGCATGAATCAATAAGATTTTATATATCTGTGTACCCTAGATATATCCTCTCACCAAAGTAGGCCCTGATCTGTCCACTGCCTGTTGTGGGGCCTTATTTTTATCCTTAGCTGCCCACAGGCCACAGTTTTGGGATGATGTCTTACTTCTCTGTGGGAGGTCGATCTCTTGGTCGCAGAGGTGGGACTGGAGGTGGTGGAGGCACTGGGGAAGATGTGTCCTTGAAGACATCTGTGCCATTGTCCGAGTGGCTTTTGGACAGAGGTCTGTAGGTCTGGGTCTTCACGGCAGGGTGTGACTGCGCACTGTAGGGTGGGTTGTACAGGCCTAGCATAACCAAAACAAAAACAGACAACAGAAAAGAGGTGTGAACAACATTTGAAGAATGAGTTAAATTATTTTTACTTCTCAAAATAGCCAGTGATTTTGCCAAAATTATTATCTAGAGGTATATTCATAATGCAGACATTGAACAGTAATTTATTAATATTATTAATTTACTAACCACCATTAGTTAATTAATTCTGTATACAAGTACTAAGTACAGTAAATCTGCATCAATATATTTTTTGGAGTTAGTAATGATTCAGACTAGTACTAGGAATATACTTATAGGTACTCAGCAAATCTTCTTGATCATGTAAACTAATAACAGGGTCAATGTTTTGTAGTAAGATTAAAAACACTTAGAACTGTTTCCAAATATCTTTTAGTACTTAAAAAGTTCTGATGGGACTGACACCGTGGCTCACTTGGCTAATCCTCTGCCTGTGGCACCGGCATCCCATATGGGCACCAGGTTCTAGTTCCAGCTGCTCCTCTTCCAGTCCAGCTCTCTGCTGTAGCCCTGGAAGGCAGTGGAGGATGGCCCAAGTGCTTGGGTGCCTGCAACCGCATGGGAGACCAGGAGGAAGCACCTGGATCCTGGCTTCGGATTGGCGCAGCGTGCCAGCTGTAGCTACCATTTGGGGGGGGGTGAAGCAACGGAAGGAAGACCTTTCTCTCTGTCTCTCTCTCTCTCACTGTCTAACTCTATCTGTCAAATAAATAATAAAAAAAGTTCTGATTTACAATGATAATCGACACATTATTGTAATCAAACAAGATACTGAAATAGCTGTATGTTTAAGGTGCTGTAGAAGGCATAAGGAAACAAATCTCCAATAAGCTTATAGTGCATCTGCAAAAATGAGACACAAATAGAACTATGATTGGAAGTTATTAGTAATATTTAATAAAGAGCAAATGGGGAAATATATCTTAAGAATGTACAAGATTGTGGAATGTAGTATATTGGTCAGAGCAGATATTGTGGCACCCAAGGGACTAGAGTTGGTACTGAGGATTAGTTTGGGTGGGTAGGGGAAGAGGAAGGCAGGGAAAGAATAGAAAAAAAAGGCAGACATAAAGCAGTGGGATGTTGGGTTAGTAGAAAAGAAGAGACTAGTTACAGATCCTTTGACTAATTAAATGATAAAATGTGTAGGGCTCTACAAAGGTAATATGTGACTGATGCTAATTTTACTAGCACTCATGTGATAGAAACTTCAATATTAAAACAATTATAAAAATTCAGAATTGGGGTGAGTGGGCATAGCAGTTAAGACTCCACTCGGGATACCCTCATCAATTATTGTGGAGTGCCTGCGCTCGAGTGCTGGCTCCACTTCTAATTCCAGCTTCCTGCCGATGTGCACCCTGGGAGGCTGCGGTGATGGCTCAAGTGGTTGGGTCCCTGCCACCCATGTGGGAGACCCAGATTGTATTTCTGGCTCCTGGCTTTGACCTGGCCCAGCCCTGGCTGTTGCAAGTGGATGGGAGACCTTATGTCTGTCTTATCTCTCTTTCTTTCAAATAAAATAAATAAAAATTTTAAGAAAAATCATAATTTCCCTTAACTTCAAAGTATATTTGCACTTGTCTTCATCATTTCAAGGCAAATTAAAAGAGAAAATCTGCACCTATGGTTTTACCTTGATTTCTATTTTTTTTTTTTTTTTTGACAGGCAGAGTGGACAGTGAGAGAGAGAGACAGAGAGAAAGGTCTTCCTTTGCTGTTGGTTCTCCCTCCAATGGCTGCCGTAGCCGGTGCGCTGCAGCCAGCGCACCGCGCTGATCCGATGGCAGGAGCCAGGTACTTATCCTGGTCTCCCATGGGGTGCAGGGCCCAAGGACTTGGGCCATCCTCCACTGCACTCCCTGGCCACAGCAGAGAGCTGGCCTGGAAGAGGAGCAACCGGGACAGAATCCGGCACCCTGACTGGGACTAGAACCCGGTGTGCTGGTGCTGCAAGGCGGAGGATTAGCCTAGTGAGGCACGGCCCCAGCCCTTACCTTGATTTCACAGTCAGACTTCAACTTTCAAGATAAATAAAGGAGGTAAGTTTGCTATATGAATGACCAGGAATAAAACTTGAGGGAAATGTCTTAATAGATCTCCTGATGTCATTTGGGGGAGCCAGGACCAGAAACCAGAGCTCTCACAGCTTGAAAGCTTGTTTCATTCAGTTTTGTTCTTTCTGTCTTTGAAGACTGGTAACAAAATGACTAACAGTTGGGGGACATGAGCACTGGTCTTCAGGCATGAAGGAAGGGAGAGCCTCACTCGATTTCATAGGCAGGCTAGCAAGGAGATCTCTAAGTGGCAGCACAGAAGCTGAAGAGGTGGGTCTGAGTCTAGGAGCTTGCTTTAAAGTAAAGAAAAAAAATCGTGCACCAGCCCTGAGCGGGAGGCGGGGCAGTGAGAGAAGGCCATGCTGGAACTCCCTGAGGCCAGGTAAAGGGGAAAGTGATGAGAGGAAATTGTTCTTAGGAACCCCCTCTCGTCAGCTTGCAGACCTGCTCACAAGACACCAGTGTGCTCAAGGAAAGTGGAAATGCCTGGTATTGAAGTGATTTCTTGGTGACCACTGGAAACTCTGAGTAAGAAAAGCAGCCCAGCCAAATAGGATTTTTAAAATCTTTCAATGAATGGTTGCTTTTTGGAGCAAAACCATGGACAAGGTCACAAAACACTTTGCTTGACTTGTTTTTTGTGAAGGTATCTGAAAGATCTTATGCAAGCAATTGTAATCACTCTCTGTGCTGATAAAAGAAGATCTTTATCTTATTTTGTACCCCAGGTTACAGTATGTTCTTTCATGATGTCCTTCACACTTCGGTTAAACATTCCTGAAGCTGAGAATAAGCTAACAGTGGGAATGAATGAGACAGAACAGTGTTAGTCCTCATTTCCATGAGAAAAGATTAATCCTTTTGTTATGCATGCTCTGAGAGAAGAAGAAAAAGCATCCTACTAATTATATAAACTGCTCAAATACAGTGGTTAAAAAAAGGGGGGGGGGGCAATGTTCTTCCAAACACTGCTGGGAATAAAAAATATTCATCGCAAGCAAGGAAACCCATCCTACCTGCATTATACGTATAAGGAGTATTATACATGTCTGTGTCATCATCTAGAAAATGAAACATAAATATTATGGTAATATCGATTTGGTCACCACATCATAACAAGACAGCAGAACCTCAGAGAAACAACAGAAATCTGTTAGAAAAGCAATGCAGTTTCCTAGTTCAGGATATCAACTTTTATTTCCAAATACTGTTTATGGCCAGGTCTCCACAGAACGATCTTTCTGTAACACGAAGTTACTTCAAAAAGTTAACATCAAAATGGAATTGAAAGATGTTTATTTTGCTGCAAAATTTTTTGATATCCAATGAGTTTTTTCCTATTATGCATTTTCCATGAACTTTTTGAAGACTCCTGGACTTGGGTCTTGCTGCCCTCAGTATAGCATGCAAAGGTGATCCCTGGTCTTCTTTTCCAGATCACAAGCTTCCTTTATTAAGTGCTTTAAATACCTCTCGCCAACTGCTCTGAGCAGGCTGTCAGACCTACCAATAATCACTGTCTCGGGGCGGACAGGGAAACAATGAGTCTCTGCTCAATGTTTAAGCGGAGAACACACCAGTTTAGACTACGCATAGGGAAGGACGGAGGCATAAGATCAGAACACCTGGCTGCCCTCCAAGGGGCACCGCTTAAGAGGCTTCTTGGCAGCCTGGAGTGAGGCAGAGACACAGAGATCTGAATCTGAGGAGAATAGGGAGGGATGTTGTAAGGAGAGGGGCATGCATTTGCTGGGGTTCTTTGCTCTATGTGTGAACAAAACCTACACAAAAGAGGAATAGCTATTATCCGACCCACAAAGACCTGATCCAACACCGAATAGCATACATACCTGGCTTGTGCACCATGTGGATCTGCTTGAACATGGTCTTGTACCAGTCCTTTGGTCGGTCTACTGTCTATAAAAAAGGATGCCCCATAGTTACCAAACTGGTTTCAAGTCAACATTGCTCCTCAGTGTTTTTGTCTCTATATTTTATCTTTTTTAATAATGGATTTCCATTCTATGATAAGAATGTCCTGACTCTTGACTCTTACTTGATGGCAATCTCTGTAGCTAGTCGATTTCTATGTGCAAGTTAGTAAATGTCTTACTCCAAGTTTGTGTTTAGGTGGAATTTGGAACATTTAATGCTATTTTTTTTTTTTGACAGGCAGAGTTAGACAGTGAGTGAGAGAGAGAGAGAGACAGAGAGAAAGGTCTTCCTTCCATTGGCTCACCCCCCAAATGGCCGCTACTGCCAGCGTGCTGTGCCAATCCGAAGCCAGGAGCCAGGTACCTCCTCCTGGTCTCCCATGCCGGTGCAGGGCCCAAGCACTTGGGCCATCCTCCACTGCCTTCCCAGGCCACAGCAGAGAGCTGGACTGGAAGAGGAGCAACCGGAACAGAACCGGTGCCCCAACTGGGACTAGAACCCGGGATGCCAGCGCCGCAGGCTGAGGATTAGCCTAGTGAGCCACGGTGCCAGCCGATGCTATGGTTTTATTTTTTAAATCACAGCTGTACCCAGAACTAGAAGGTGTGTATTTGCACAAATGTATTGAATAAAATGCGTTGAGTAAAGGCTGTTGTTTTAATTTGCTTAATTCCTTTTGGTGAAAGTTATCATTATCCTTAAAAGCTTTTTATTGTGTGTCTGTCAACATTATTTTTAGAATTAACTAAGGAATATTTTTACTCAAATTGTATTCTGACCAGCTGAGATTCAGACACTGATATTTGATATTTATTAGTTTAAGTTGCTAAAATACTGAATGCAGGGGACAATTCAGAATCCTAGAACAAATCTAAAACTGTAGTTAGCAATTTCAAAAATTTAAAATTATGGTCATAGGGTGTACAAAACATTTGACTTGCTAAATTGTAAGTTCTCTGAGAGAAGCACCTTGTTCTCCTGACTTTTGACATAATAGAAAGTCAGCTGTAGTGGAAAGAGGAAGTGGATGTTTAATATTGAACCAAGATTCAAATCTTGGCTCCCTTGATGTCTACTTTCCAGCTACAAGAATTTGGACAAGTTGTGTTACTTTTTTGAGCACCAATTTTCTCCTCTTTAAATGGAAATGACAGCTACATCATAGGATGGTTATAGAAAGTGAATGAGGCAAGAAATACATAAAGGCTTACAAGAGGGCCTAGAATAACATGAATTCTATATTAACAGTAGGGACCTTCAAATATTTGTGGAGTGAAATAATGAATGAATAGCTTATTGGATGAAACTCTATTGTACACCAATAAGAGAAGACACACCCCTTTGTCATCATAATTAATGATTTGTTTGGCAAGATCATTATCCCAACTATTTCAGAGTTACCTGGTCAAGAAACTTGACTATTCTGTGTATAGTAACCAAATATACCCGATTTTCTAAAATCATTTTCTTGACTTAAAACAGGATTGCTACAAAAATATTCTGGTACTTGTTAGTTAGACTGAAATTTGGTTTAGTTTGATATCATGATTTTTTTTCTTTCAGAAATGTGGTCATTACATTTTTCATCTGGAAACTGATGGCTCTTCTATATCTAAATTTATTTTGATCCTGAAAACATAAGATTCTGGTCATCAGCACAATATAGATTCACATGAAGGATGGTCTGAGTTTGTTGTGAACCACCTCTTCATCGAGGCTCTTTCTACAATGGAAGAACTGAGGGGATCATTGATTGAATACGCACTCAACAGTGGGAGTGAGTGGAAAGCAGTGCAGTAGTGAAGCAAGAGAAGTTGCTGATTCAAACAAAGTAGATGAGCACGTATCTTATTCACTTTAATAAAAATCAATTTCTGTTTCTTGAAACTTCATTTCTCTTGTAGTATTAAAGCAGAAGAACCTGTGACAGGACTTTGTGCAAAAGTGTTTTCTGACCATACCTGGACACAACCAATGGCTACAAGGAAGCCTAATAAGTAAGCTATATCTCTGTATATGGCAATGCATCGTGACAGACAGGACTTTCTTTTCTTCACTCGCTGGAGGGCCTATATCGGGCAAGGTCTCAGAGTTATGCCATCTGCTAGCTTTATATGGGGAGCACAAGATGCCAGGGAATGCCCAGGCTGTTGGCAAAGGGGACTCTAGGACTGGTAAAGCGGGAATGCTAAAACTCCATGTCCTTTTCTAAAAGAAGTAAGCATTTGAAGTTCCTTTTATAAATGCCATCAGGGACACTGCTATGCCTACTACCAAGATTAAGAAAACAGCAATTTACTCAAAGTTGAGGTAGTTTATTTTTGTGTGTGTCCTTCAAAGTCATTTTGCGTGGACAGTAGCTACACGGTTGTTTTCTGCACCTTCACTGAAATGACCTAAGTCTTTACATTCCTACTGGCTTACTGTGGAGAGATCTCCAAAAAGGAAAAAAAAAGACACACTCTACACACTATCAAACAGTGACTCTGTTTTACATGTCCCTTTTCCAGCTTTGAAAGTGCTCAATCTAGTAACACGTGAAAGAGGAGAAAAGACTCTTGCACTTCACTTAACTGGTTGTCCCTAATGACACAATCTCCGGGGACCTGAGCCCCAGTGGGTTTTGCTGCTGTTTTCAAGAGTGGCAGTGAAAGGCTAGTGTAGACATCCCAGGTCACATGAGCCTGGCTCCTCTTTATTCCAGTCACTCAGAAGTCGCATTTATGGACCGGTGACTTTCCAGGCTGTTTTACAAAAATCCTGTTCCTTGAAATGCGTTGGTCATCTGCAAGGTGACACGGTACATGAAAGCAGAACTCTTTGTGTATGCACTGAACAGAAGGCTAGAGCGAAGCAACTGGAGTCTGCCGGATGGGGAGGGAAAACAACCTTGGAGATTCTTGGCTTGCTGTGGCTCTGAGTGGCCCCATTCCACATTTATAAACACGGCTATACTTGGGGATGTGCTATGCAGGGCTGCCGAAAAGTCCACGGGAGCAACAAGAGCCTGCGCAGACCTGTACTTTCTTTGTAAAGTTTCAAGTGCCTAAGTCAAGCACAACTGCACATACAGATTACGGTTCCTTATAAGGAACTGCCAGCTTGCTTATACTGTATTTTCTATTTTAAACAAGGGAAATTAGCAAGAACTGTTTAGTGTATCTGTTTACCTATGCATATCTAAGCTTATGCATAGCTTTGCTTATGCTTTTGATTTGACAGTAGATAGATGAACAATATAAAACTATCAATTCAGCTTTTCCTTAACCATCTCCAGTGTTTCAGGTTTGTTTTCAACTAAAGAAGTTCTTGTTCTCTAATGAAAATTGTCTTGTGGATAAATATAAATGGAAATGGTTTGCATGCCCATTTTGAAACATCATTTACTGACTTAAAAACATACCTAGAGGTTTCAGATAAATTTTTTTTTCAGACAGAATCTGTTATTGCACAGAATCTGGAAGTCTTCAATTTGTGTATATACCATATCTCAAGGGTCAATAGACAAAGCCACTAACACCATACCTGGCTAATATTCTATCTACATTATTAGGAAAAAGTTGAGAATTAGCTATTTTGTACAAGGAAATCTTAAAAGACAAATAACAATACCACCAACAGAATCATGCAAGCATCACAAGATTGAGAATCTTAGTCACGGTCACTGAATTATGACAGCCATCAGTTCCGACACAGATTTTTAGGATTTATATTTACTTTCAACATTCCCACAATCTAAGGAGTCTAAAATCCCAGCAACTGCTACATTGATCTACTTTTCCACTTCCACTTGTAGAAGCTTAGAATAATCAATGTTTAAATGTTCTCTTCGTATATAAAGCATGCAATCCACTCACAATAAATGCAAATCAAGGAGAGAAGAAAAACCTCACACTTTAGTGCTCTTTGATACTTTCCAATCTGTCTGCTGTTTGTTTCCCTGATATCTTTGCCCCTGGCAAACCCCGGCTCTGTAGGTGGCGGGTGCAGGACAAGTTCATGCAGCCAGAGCTCCATTTGTGCACCGCCCCCAAGTTTCACCTGCAAAGGTGCCGTGGCTCTCATCCTGGCTTCCCCAGCCTTCCTTCTCCGGCTAGCACAATCCTCCTCTTCCGCTGCACTTGGTCAGCAAGCAGCTGCCTGCTCTGCTCTCCGGAGCTGCCTCTGCCACTGCTGAGCCTGACCAGAAGGGGCTGCCCCGGCACACTGAGCAATGCTTTGGCAGAGTTGAAAAAAAAAAAAAAAAATCCTAACACTTTCACTTATCATTCCCAGAGAGCTCTCAGCAGGCACAGCTGAGGACAGGACATTAAAATGTGTATTCTTCTTCAGTTTCTCCTTTCCATGACATTCACTTCCTTCACTCCAATTATCTCACCTCCCAACACCCAATTCACAGCTCCCAATCTCCCAGTGTTAACACATCCATTTCAAGAAACAAATCACTGCTTTATTTGCAGTGTGCATGGAAATTCAATGCAGCCAAAGAATTCACATTTTCTGGTTCCTTCTCTTCCATGACCCTAGCCTTCCTTATGGAAAGGCATAACACAGGGCAACCCAAAGAGTTTCACCTCTTGACACAATCATAACGGTCATGGTTTTTAATTTAAACGGAAACCAGAGTGTGGAGCGCTCCCCAGCGTACAGCGCACTCTCTCTTTTCTCTCTCTGCCTCATACAGCACCATATTCATGAGGGCTCAGATGCCACAGAGGGCAATCCTCATTATATAAGACCCTAGGAATGCACAAAGCCATGGACAATCCATCCTTTGTAGAGTGCGTGCCCAGAGCCAGAGAGACGCACACGCAGGCGTTTCCTACCGTTCTGATTGCTGTGGGGATGCCAGACTCATCCACCGGCCCGATTCCTGGGTAATGCGGGGCTTTGATGACAGTCACCCTCTTCTCTTCCTCCGAGGATCTGTACAGTGGTATGGAGCCGCCGCCGGTGCCGTCCAGGGTCTGCGCGTGCTGCGGGTATGGCTCTGTGGAGTCTGTGGGCACAAGTTGGTGAAATGCGATATGTGAGCATTTGATGGACAAGGGAGCGTGAACGGACAGAGCCTCTAGGATATTTATGCCTGCATTTCCGGGCGGGAGGGGGTCTCACAGGGCAGTACCTGGGTTCCAGACTCACCTCTGCCTCCTGCCTCCAGCTTCTGGCTCCAATGCTGGCTCTGGGAGGCAGAATGATGGCTTAAGTATGGAATCCCGCTGCCCACGTGAGAGACCCGGATGGATTTTGGCCTGTTCCGGTACGGCATTTGGGGAGTAAACCAGAGCATGGGAGTGCTCCTTCGCTCCCTCTCAGTCTCCCACCCTCGCTCCCTCTAACAAATAAGCAAGTATAAATAAAAATCAAAAGCAATCCATATTTCCATCACTAGCGTCTCCTTGAGCTCACTTACTGTACGGCTAAGGCCCTCATTGTGTAGGTGAACACATTGCAATGAATAGGACCGGACTGCTTATGTAGAGGGGCGAGGGGAACAGCATTTGTTGGATGACTGTGCAGCAGCAGCCACTGTAGTCAACGGCACCTTCACATGCACTGCCTCATCTTATTCTCCCAGGGGGTGGGGAGGCAGTGGGCAGAGGGAACAGGAATCAATTTTGTAGCTGAGGGGTGCGATGGTTTGGGTATGGTTTGTCCTCAGACTCAGGTAGGGGGGCCCGAGTGCAGCTGCGATGGAGGTGGGGCTGAGGGGAACTGTTTCGGTCTGGAGTGGAGTTTCGTTCTCGCTGCACGGGATGAGCTAGAGAAGGGTGGTTGTTAAGTGAGTTCAGCATGGGTTGTTATCAAATGAGTTGATCATCTTTGACTTTCTCTTGCTTCCCTGCTGCATGTGCCTGTTTGCTCTCCTCATTCCACTGGGAACTGAAGGGGCGTGAGGCCCTCACCAGAGTCGGGGCACACACCGCTGGCACGCTCTCAGAGGTCCCAGCATCCGGAGCCATGACCAAAGGAAACACCCTGCCCAGTCTCGAGTGTTTTTCTTATAACAACAGAAGACAAACTAGGATAAGGGGGCAGAAGGTGAAAGATGCTTAGTAATGACCCTCAGGTCATAATTTACATTAGCATTATTCTTGTGGGACTGCTGACAGCCATTATTTAAAAGTACTGGCATGTACTTTCAGATAAAAGATAGGATGTCAAGTCAATGACAGTGGTTTCATAAAAACCAAGCAAACACAGAAGTCACTTAAGAAGTCTTTACATCCGAACATATGCTTAGATGGGAAGGCTTCTGGATAAATGAATGCTTTACATAATTATATTAATTAGTTTTTATTTTAAAAGTTATTATGGCCATAATGTCTGTGGTTTTTACATTAAAATACCAAGAGCCATGAATTTTTACTCTGAGGATAAAAACTGCTCTAGGAATATAAAGGAGATGAGGCTTATTAAGTTCCTATTTTCATGTCATCTTTATTAACTTGGGTATAATATCAGAAGTAACAGAGAGTACATATGTGCACTATATATGCTACTTACTCTTAGTTTAGAAGTTCCTTTGGAAATGAACATTACTGGGCAGGCATTTGGCCTAGAGGTGAAGATGCCAGTTAAGAAGCCTGTGTCCCTTATCAGAGTACCTACGGGTGAGTTCTGCTCCCAGTCCCTGCTAATGTGGAGCCTGGGAAGCACAGGTGATGTCTCAAGCAATTAGATTTCTGCCACCCATCTGAAACCTGGATTGAGTTCCTCCCTCCCAGCTTTGGCCAAGCCCAGCCTTGGCCATTGGGTGCATTTGAGGAGTAAGCCAGTGGATGGGAGTACTCATTCTCTCTTTCTCTCCCCTACCCCATTTCTCTGCCTCTCAAACAATAATTAAAAGAAAATCAATATAATTGCCATTTATTTGGTTCAGTTAATAATACAACTTCCTATTTTGCTGCAACTAATTTCAAAATTATGGTGACCAAGAATGACACTGTGTTTATACTGTTTATACCATGGCTTGATAGATGTGCCACTCAGAAAGTTCTTTCCTGTGTTTCAAGGCAGCACGTGTGTGTGTGTGTGTGTGTGTGTGTGTATGATATATGAAGGGGGCTTTGAAAAGTTTATGGAAAGTGGAATGGAAAGATAATGTAGATTTTCCATGAATATTTTGAGGCTCCCTTATATTATATTTAAGTGTGTTTTTCTTTAATGTTTTGCATAAAATACCACAAATAAGCTTTATAAGAAGTATAACTTATCCTCATAAGGACAGAGTTAAGATCTCTTTAAGGTAAAACCACTATATGATTTGTAACTGCCATCATCACTATTATGGCTATATTCAACTTAATTTGCCACATGAAAGTGTTTCCAATATTTTTTATGGAGAATAGATTAGGCTAGGAATAAAAGTGTCTTATGTGTCAAGCTACTCAAACTTAAGTAACATTTGGATTCAGACTGACTTTCCATTTAATTCTAAAAAAGGATTTGGGTAGGCAGTCATAAGATTGGTATTTTCATTAACAACAAAAGGTTTTTGAACACCTTTATGTGCAAAATCCTAGCATCAGAAAAGTCTGTCCTCGTAAATAGTCATGAGATTCTATGAACCCATAGCTTATGCAATACAAGTTATCCCTTTATATATTTTCTTCTCTCACGTGGTTCAAAAACTCACAAACTTTGCAAATTTTTTGGCCTCACTTAATCCAAAGATCATTTAGGGCAGGGTAGGCTCGTATAGTCTCCTCAGAACTTATCGCAGCACCTGCCAACTGGAATTTTTTGTGTTTGTAGGACTTTCTTTCCATATAGCATAAAATCTACTAATGTGTTATAGAATCAAAGCCTCTCTGCATTTAAGTATTTGTAGTTTTTGTTTGGTTGGTGGGGGGACAGATTGAGAGGGGCAAAAGTCTGTTCACTGTGACAGTCCATGAGACAAAGACTCAGACTTTGATAGTAATTATTCAGGAAGAAGTTATGGCTAGGATTACATCATTCTGGGTATAGTGGACTCCCATTTTTAATACCACACTGTGGCTGATTGTTAAAGGGCAACGTTTTGGCATAAGGACATTCTATTTTCTTATACTCTAAAACAACATCATTATAAGATTCACAGATGATCCCCAGGAGTAGCATGAGAATAGACACAAGTATATTTAGACTTTTCTTTCATGAGTCCCATGGCTACAAAAGTACAGACCTAGAGCAATCAAGGTTTTGTTGACCACAGAAACTGAGTTCTATAGTATGCAAACTGGACGCTGACATAAAATGTCCCTTAGTAAACGAAGGCCATCAAAACATGAGTCAGCGCTGTGGCCAGGAGGTTGCTACCTGCTGCCCAAGAGGAAACGGTAGCTAAGGTCTCGTATTCTAGTTTATTTTTCTCTGGTTTGTGGCAGCCACAGGATTAGTCCTCTCTTTTTTCCTGAGAGGTGTGTGGCAGTCATGTCCTTAGCTTTCCTGTTTTGGAAACTTTCTAGTTAAGCAATATCATGGAAACTTTTTCAGCCACAATTTGTACAATGGTTCAATTTGGTAATTTTTAAAAAAATATTTTGAGTTTTACAAAATTACATTTTTAACCCAAGACACACTTATTATATCATTTTTGAAACTATCCTAATAATGTCTTGCCATATAAGAATGTTTCTATCATCACAAAGCTCAGTTTCTTTTCCAGGAGTCTTCAAAGAGTTCATGAGTCCCATGGAATTATATGCTAATTTTTGTTGAATGTTCACATGCTCATTTTTTCTCCTGGGGGACAGTTATATTTTTCACAAAATTGCTTATACCTAAAGAATTAAGGTCTCATTATAAAATTACTGAATCATCATTCCAGGGGACCTTAAGTTTCTTCTGTTGGGCTTCCCACTACCACAACCCTGACAAGTTCTTCTAGCTTCAATTTGAGTATTAGTTTACTGCTTTATGAATCAGCAGCTTACTACTTTACTACTTTGGGGGCAGACTATCACAATGATGTAAACGTTAAACAATTATTTCATATAGGAGAGGTCTTCAACATTTCTTAGAAGATGTGTATTATGACAAAACATGCATGATTTCAAAAAAATTCTTTGCACCCAAATAAGCTGAACTCATCTTTTAATTCCATTTTCCCATGAACCTTTGTGAAGTACGGCAACATATACATCAAAAGAACATTCCACAATGAAGGCTCTTCTCAATGGAGAAGCGCTACATTCATGTGGTTCTAGTGGCACAGACTCGTCTTTCCATAACTAGCTATCTTTTTCTTTCCAATTCCCCACCCTCCAAATACATCCAGCAGCCAACCCCAGATGGAGTGACCATCTCATACAGCTGGGTAGCTACTTTCTCTCAAGTAGAACCCTCTGCCTCAATTCCTCCTCTTCGACCGCCTCATTCAACAGTGGAGTGCTGACCACTCCTACCTCACTTTGAGGCCTTGTATTTCCTCATCTCTTCTGTCCTTGACATAACAAAATTGTCATGAAAGTCACAGTGATTAAATGACTTACCGAGTGATCTGCCATGCTGCATGATAATGCTTGAGTTGAGTGAGCCCGGGAGAGAATACGCGGAGGGGGAAAACGGCCTTTGATAGTAACTCATCGGACTCACAGCACCACCAGAATTTCCGTTCACTGTTATCTGGCTCTGGGGAAAGTGCAAAGACATCCTATTAAAGCACACAGCCCCCTGTACATATCACTCCTCTAGCTGACAATAAAAGGCTTCCAATCACATGACAATGATCCACTGCCAGGTTTTCATGTATTTTGAGCACTCTTGTCTGAGGGGCAAGGTACATTTTTTCAGAGTCTTTTCTCTCTTCCTTTATTGGTGAAGACCACTACCTTATTTTAGCAGAGAGTGCAGGAGGTGGTTAGGAAGAGTGGAAGAGGCTCCCCAGTGGGCATGTCACTCTGTCATCAGAAATGCCAAGAGGTATCAGTCGGAGGCACCACCAAAGGAGAAGGGTGCACTGTCTCTCAGAATCGTGATGCTAGTGGGCAGGAGTTGAAGTGGATGTTCTTTGACATGACACAAAGCCCTGGTTCTCAGACTGAGTCAAGGATATTGTCTAGAAGTGAATGAAGGTTTCCAGAGCAAGGTGACTAAGGTAGGGGACATAGTCCTCTGGAATTACAAATCACAAAGGAACCTGTCCTGGAACAGGCCAATACCAGGTAAAGCACCAAAAAGATGTTAAAACACCTGCTTCTCCCTACTTCAGCCTCATTTAACACTTTATGGACATTTAATCTGGATTCTTCATTTACTATTTTGATTGTTTTATATCTGAGTCTTTTATATCTGCAGTTACCACTTTTATATCTGCAGTTACCACTCAGGCTTCTTATTGGAGATGCTCATATATATATATATATATATATTTCTTTTACACATGCATCCTTTATAACATACCAGCTGTTGCTAATGACATAGTAGAGATTCACTAGATACTCTAATTGAGTTGGATCAACAGCACTGCACCAGCACTATGAAGATTACATCATGCAAATGAGACAAAACATCAGTAAGAAAATTTAGGTCCAATCACCTTACAACTAAATACACACACATGCACACAGATAAAGAACATTAAATTAGGAACTTTCCTACTTATTTTAAAACAAAATAAACTTATTATAGAGGATCAAAACATACATGGACAAGTAATTGCATTATTTCCATGATTTCACTTTAAAGTAGGCATACTTCCAAATGACTTAAAATAAATCTAATTGTAATACTTTCTGGCATAAAATCAATAAGCACTTCATTGAAATGGTGATGCTTATTGATTAAGCATTTCTCTAAGTTATTAAAAATTCTCTCTTGGCCAGCACCGTGGCTCACTAGGCTAATCCTCCGCCTGCGGCGCCGGCACAACAGGTTCTAGTCCCCGTTGGGGCGCCGGATTCTGTCCCGGTTGCCCCTCTTCCAGGCCAGCTCTCTGCTGTGGCCCAGGAGTGCAGTGGAGGATGGCCCAAGTCCTTGGGCCCTGCACCCACATGGGAGACCAGGAGAAGCACCTGGCTCCTGGCTTCAGATCAGTGTGGTGCGCCAGCCGTAGCGCGCCGGCTGCGGCGTCCATTGGAGGGTGAACCAACGGCAAAGGAAGACCTTTCTCTCTGTCTCTCTCTCTCACTGTCCACTCTGCCTGTCAAAAAAAAAAAAAATCTCTCTTAAAAAAATTCTCTCATATTATAATCTACCATGCCTCTACGAAGGAGAACTGGACATTCAAAGAAATAGGAGGCACATACTTGCCCAGATGCTCCACAGCTAATGTGTACCTCTGATGAATGAGTTAAATCAAGTTTGATGGACCCATGTAAATATAATGTTAATGCTATTATTAGAATGTGTTATAATTAATGTTAAACACAGGACAATCTTTCTTATTAAACATGATTGGTGGCAGGCATTCGGTTAAGATACTGGTTATGACACTTGCATTCCATATTAGAATACATAGGTGATCTCTGACTTCTGATTCCAGGATTCTGCTAACATAGACCCTGGGAGGCAGTGATGGTGGTGTAAGTAACTGGGCTCCTCCCACCCACAGGGGAGACCTGGACTGAGTGCAGCACTGGCTGTTGGAGGTCTTGGGTAGTGCACCTGTGGATGGCAGCTCTGTTTCTCTGCCTCTCAAATCAATTAAATTAAAAGCCCCAATCAGGTTACTATATGACTAAATTTAGGGAGTTTTCTGTGAATCCTATTTTGATATTTTCAACAATATTGATTAAGGATTAAAACAAATAAACATTGGAAGTAGATTTACCCTTTTACCAGGTTAAAACAATCAGGATTTTACTAATAAAGTAATATCATTAGAATTTTAGAAAATACTTTCATAGCTAGAGTCAAATAATTATTAGAAAAAACATCTCATGGAGGAACCATGTTCAATTTTAAACCTATAATTGAAATTAATTTCATTACAGACAGCCTGTAAGACTGCATGTATAACTCAGGGTACTAAAGCATGTTGAAAACAGAAAACTGGACATTGTATTTTTAGTTAAAAGTCCTGATAATACTCCTTAAAGTTTTCAAATGCTAAGAACCATTTACAGCACAGTAAAACATGGAGCAACCCACATCTGATGAGCTCCTCCCCAGTGGCTGGCCACCTGCATCAAATGGGGCACTGTTGAGTGCCTTAGCCCTAGGAAATGAGGTTCCTTCAGTAGCCAGTCCCTGAATGGGACACGCCAATACAAAGTTTTACACCTAGGCATTGGATGAATACCAAATCCCGCTCAAAAAATACTTTTCTTATCTGTGATTGCAGCTTATTATAACATTACAGTATTTTTCTATGCATGAAATTATGACAGAGCATAGAAGCTACAAAGCACAAGTAAAATTTTATGCTTATCTGGAACTTCATCATAATATCAATTTTTGAAAAACATTTGTTTTATTTGCCTAAAGTTGCATGCATTTCAAATGGAAACCATTATCTATATATTATATGCAATTGAGAATCTGTAGCATAACATTTTAAAGCACTTAAGCCATTCATAAGTCATTTATTATATTATATATGAAAAACTATAGTATTATAAATAGAATATAATTATCGATATATAAAATTAAGAATATATTCATAAAAAGAATTCAACAAGATAGAGCTAAATTTTTGCAATGCTGATTATAAGTATTTGCAGCCTTCACTCCTTCATGAGGGATGAGTTCAAAAGATGCAGTTTGTAGTGAACAAGAGGAACTAGCATCATGCAGGCAGTGCTTATGAGAGACACAAGGATATATAAATTATTTACACAGTATGCATTAATATAAATGTTATCTACCAAATATTAATACTGTGTTAAAATTTTGGATTTTCCCTATAATCTAATCATAGCAGTACTATGATTCATGCTTATCTAAATTTCTGAGGTAACTTCTTATTAAGGCAAATCACTCTATAACTCATTAAGTACAGCAATATGATAAGCCATGGGTAAACCATCTGAGAGTAAGTGTAAGTAACTCCAGAGTGAATGAAGAGACAATGTGAAATTTGCAACCCTGCATAGACTTCTGAGGATGAGTGTAATGGCTTTCCCTGACAGACAGAATAGAATTGATTTAGTAATCAACACCTATGCAAATAAACAATATTGAGCTGCAAAACAAGAAGGCAGTCAACAGTTCAGCTCTTTATAAAAACTGATGGAGGCAAAGGAAAGAAGAAGAATTACATGAGTGGCAGCAGGGGTGGCTAAGGTGGTGCCATCTGTCACAGCAGACCTCTGACCCCAGGCTGGGGACGGCATCTCAGAACGGTCACTGGTGTTAGAGCTACCCATCTGCAGCTCAGCTAGAATGGCTGTGGAGGACTCGCTCTTGGAGTGGGAGCAGTCTGTTGTGAGAGAGCCCGTGTCCTGGCTCTGGATAAGGCTTTCAGGGGGTGGGAGAGGGAGTTCATCTAAACGATGGGAAAGGCTCTGGGGGTTACTCTGAAGTGGAGGGCCCAAATCATCAGGTGGAAGCAGGCTAAGTGACCTTGGGCTGGAGCCACTGCCTGACGAAAAAGTGGCTTGGCTAAGAGACACCATGGAAGAAGAGGCTTCTGGGGTGTTTTGTCTGGATATCTGTGAAGCATTTACCTCCAACACCTTGGCAGTTAAGTTCTGATCTCCAAGCTGAGTTTAAGGAAAAAATAATAAGAGAAACACATTATCCAATTAATAGAAACATCTTTTTTTTGTGCAATGTGGCAGAGAAAGCAGAGCATCAGTTTTATCTGCAAGCACTTGAAGGAAATACATTCAGGTGGATTAGGAGCCAACCACACAGTAGAGAAAAAGCAAGAAAAGATAAAGAAAAGGAAGCCAGTCAGTGTCTTTTGGAAACAAAATTAGTTTTCACACAGCACTGCAATGCAACTTTGGGTAGGAGAGGGGCTCGCGGGTATGGGTATAGTGACACTCTTTCCTCAGGGGTTGTAGTGTTTGTATTTGTGACAGTGAAAGGATTTCAGATATTGGTCAGAAAAATTAGCTTGACCTTCACTAGACAAATCGTCTAGCATACTCTTTCGCATTGCCTCCTCTCTGTCAAGTGTCCCCAAAGTAGAAAGCCATTTGCCTCCCTTATTTTCTGACTTACAGATGTAAATGTCGATTAAACCCCAAAGTATTAAGTGGAAAGGGTGTTATGCTTTCTTTCCACCCACTGAATCTGTTCTTGGATTTAACTGCAAAATACTAAAAGAACTGAATTTTACTTTTTAACTTAATGGCTTATTTATTTTTTTGAGAGAATACATTTTTAATTTACACTATGGGCAAAGGTTTAATGGTTCTACTAAATAAGAGTTCAACAAATAAAAAGTAAAAAGCACAGTCTAGCAGGAAAATAGGCAAAGGCTGTCAACAATAATCAAGTGAAGAGATGTTGAACTTCATTCAAATAAAGTAAATTTTTACATAATTACAAAACCATTAATGTTATGGAATTGAATTTTTAAAAAGTCCTAGCAGTGCAACAGAGGTACTCAAGTATGAAAATTAAGTGAAAATGAGAACCAGCCACTGATAATGGTTAGAATGAATCCTAATTGGTTAGAACTACTGTTGGTATTAATTTTAGGTAAAGGAGAAAGAAACTAGGGAAGAAATAAGGTTCCATGTACTTAAGGCCATGTACAACCCATGATGCTAACCATGGTGAAGAGATCATCCATAGATGCAGGAGGGTAGATGGCCCTTCTTAAAGTTTTCAGAGCCATCGCAGTTCAAATATGATGGTAAGATCCAACTCAACAGCAGTGACTGCAGATCTGAAGCTAATTTTCTCCCTTATTCTCCCCACTTTCCAGAACAGAGGTTTTTGTGGTGGTGTTTGAGGTGGTGTGACTTGTAAAATAGATGACTAGAAAAGTTATAGGGTATGAATACAAAGTTGGGGAATGAATTAATGTGAATGGAAATCTTAAAAACATTGCCTAGTGAAGATGTAAGTGGTACCATTTGGTGTTCTTGGCTAACTGCAATTTTCGTAGCAGATGATGTCATACAGGCTGTTGGCCTCATAAAAGTTACAAATAACTTTTTTCCCTCAGACTTTTAATTGAGTATTTCAAAAAATCCCCCATATAAAAAGTTCTCCTTGGGTCATAGATGCTTTAGAAGTCTGATGAAAGCCATTGATCTTTCTCTTAGGGAAAATGCACAATTGACATATACATAGCGTTCTGCATATCTTCAGAGGTTCAGATATTCTAAAGCACATCCTGATCTAACAGATTAAAAAGCTTTAACCCTGGATAAAAAAACAGATTTCCTTATCCTACTTTTATTTAATAATCCTTGCTGTTGTGTTGCTTAAACAGTCATTTAAATATAATACATCTAAAAAAGCATTTAGGACTTTAAAATTTCTAGAATAAACTGGCAGAAATCTTAGTTCACAGGAGCTTAAAATGTTTTAGTAGGAATGCATCCTTTTTATTAGTAAATATTATAATAATTTTATATTTTATTAAAGATAAAATAATAATAGTTATAATTTAATGTATTGAAATTTGGCTCAAGTCAGAACCGAATATAGTATAAAATAGCCTTTGGATAGTGTCAATGGAATTTCTCATAGCAATGCAGTTTCATTAAGGTAGCTTCCCTGGCACATGAATCTTTTAGATCTGCTTATGCTGGTGAAAATTCTGTTAAATAACATAAATCACACAACAACAGAATCTCTCTGCTCAAATGAAATTTTTTTCATTTTAAAAATGAAAATAAAGAATCTAAAGACCTTACTGCTCATGGGATTGATTTGTCCATATCCTCTGACCTGCTACATGTTAAAAGCTAGAACACATTCTTTCTGAAATCACCACTTTCATGGGTGATATGACCATCAGTTTGCTTGCTCAGCATTGTGTCTAGGAATGCTAGTCTTTATCCGATCATTTGTTCTTCCAAAGACAGTGTCCACAAAAATCAGAACTATTTCACCTTTTTAATTTCTCTCACCACTTTCTGACATGCTCATAATTTTATCTTTTAATGTGGATGCATTTGTGTGTGTGTGTGTGTGTGTGTGTGTGTGTAAAACCAATGAAATGCTTCTTGGTGAGTCACATCACACTTAAGTTTCTACAGATACAGCTAAGAAATTCAACCACCTATTGGTCATCCAAGAAAAAGCTTTGAAGTCTTGCTATAAAGATTTCAAATACTTCTTAGACTGCTTGGAGTCACATGACCCTGACCTCCACATTAGAGAAATGCCCACTCTATACAGAAGGAGAGAGAACAACACTATGTGAGGAGAGAATTAGGGAATGCATGACAAGGGGAAGAAGGAAGTCGTTCCTCAATATGGACTAACTTGAAATAGGAAAAAGGTAACTCTAAACAAGGGCATTCCCCCTTCAGCCAGTAACCTGCATTTTGTGGCAGACATGCCTGCAGAAAATCTCCCTAATTGTTTTATGTCTTCTCCTTCCCAAGACTACATAAGGTATTTGACTATAGGCCAAAGATCACTAACTTCTTGTGAGTATAATAAGCTACATGAAAAGGAGTTCAGAAACACCAGCTTTCTGGTGTATGGTGTACAAAGCAAAAGGCACAGCATGTAAACTGTAACCTACTTAATATTCCAAGAGAGACCACCTAGCTATTTGAAATAGCATGGAGTCTCTTGGTGCAGATGAATTCAACCCAGAATGCTAAGGAGAACCTGAGGATGAAGGTGCTCACTGATCAGGTTAGGACTCCCTAAGGAATGAAGGAGCAACGGCATTTGATGGAGGGTGAACTTCATAAGAAAAACTCGATTGGGTTGGATATGCCGACTGCAAACTCAAGTGCCTACCATGGGACTGGAATGTGAAAATCAAACCAAGTATCAGACAGCAGGGAATAATGAGAACTGCAGGAGAACTAAGAAATGTTCCCCCGAAGGCAGAACTGCTTTGTCTCTATCTCTTGACAATTTCAAAGTTAAAGGCACATTCTCTCTAAATTCACCAGTCATGGGTCTTATGACTGTAAAATAGATCATAAAGTAACTTAAAAAATAAAATTAACTCAGTGACAGCAATAACATATCTGTTGTTATAACTCCCAATCTTATTTTTTTTTTTTTACTCACTTGACACAGAAGGGAGAGGTGAAAAGTGGGAAGTTGGATCTAAGTGTGTAATGAAACTGGTATACAAAGAAGGAACACATGGTCCTGAACACGTAGTGAGCTGAGACTGATTTCTGTGTAACATTTAATGGAGCAAGAAAAGCTCTTGCATTCATAGAAAAATATAAGTGCCAAAAAATCCATACTGAACAAAATGTAAAAATTTAAATAATGACCAGCACCATGCCAAGTTGTATTGGAGCCCGAGGTAAAAACAAAAATTTGTCTGGGATTTTTAATGGAAGTAATTTCAAGAATAACAGTTTCAAAATCTGCTCTTTTTAAATCTGTTTTTCAGTGGAAAAGAGTGCTATTTTTGACAACTTCCACTTGACCAATGATGATTCTAAAAATTTTTCAGTTAACTTAAGATGAAGCAAGTGTATAGTAAATTCCGTTTCAGTATAAATAAGATATTTAGACCTAAAATGAAAGTTTTAATAAAATCTACATTTCAGCTTTCCAATACTTTTAAATTATTTAAGTGCTCTACAAAAAATGATGAAAATTTATAAAAACATACCTATGGGGGATATATTTCTCCTTCTGCCCCAGTCTTCAGTTGCTTGACATGGCACTGTGGTACAGGATCTTAATAGTTACCTCATTTCTCAAAAAACATGCAGAATATTTATAAAACGTTAAGTGAAGGGATTAGGATTTGGCAATTTTTTTGTTCTCTGTTTTTTGGTGGAGTTGACAGTAGTAAACTTGAAAAAGGTATCTAGGAAGAGGTTATATACAAAACAATCTAGGGCCAACACTGTGGCATAAAGCCACTGTCTGCAGTGCCAGCACCCCATATGGGTGCCAGTTCAGGACCTGGCTGCTCCTCTTCTGATGCAGCTCTCTGCTAAGGCCTGGGAAAACAGTAGAAGATGGCCCAAGTCTTTGGGCCCCTGCAACCAAGTGGGAAACCCGGAAGAAACTCCTGGCTCCTGGCTTCAGATTGGCACAGATCCAGCTGTTGCAGCCATTTGGGAACCAGCGGATGGAAGACCTCTCTCTCTCTCTTTCTCTCTCTCTGCCTCTGCCTCTCTGTAACTCTGGCTTTCAAATAAATAGATAAATCTTAAAAAAAAGAAAACAATCTTTGCCATTCATGCTTTGTCTTCTTGTATAATAGGCTGCTTCCGTTGTCACAGCCTTTCCTAAAGGGTGGAGAGGAAGTCGGGTTGACAGATGGATCTGTTCTAGACAACACTCTGTTTACTGGTTTTTTTTTTTTTTAGATTTATTTTATTTCTTTGAAAGACAGAGTTACATAGAGTGGCAGAGCCAGAGAAAGAGAGAGGTCTTCCATCTGCTGGTTCACTCCCCAAATGGCCTCAATGGCCTGAGCTAAGCTGATCCGAAGCCAGGAGACAGGAGCTTCCTCTGAGTCTCCCACATGGGTGCCGGGGCCCAAGCACCTGGGCCATCCTCTATTGCTTTCCCAGGCTATAGCAGAGAGCTGGATCGGAAGTGGAACAGTGGGTACTCGAACCAACAGCCCTATGAG